TTGAACCAGAAAACTTTGAGTAAACTGTGCCTGTTAAAAAATCAACCATATATTCGTTGATTTCATACCTGAATCAGTATTTTTTGTTTTCAGAAAAATATAAACAAAACAAACATTTTTAAACAATTCTTTTGTACAATACAAATAAGACATTATTGCGAAAAACTAGCAGAATAAAAGAATTATTTTCTCTGCTGAGCGATGAATATTTTTGAAGGATACTGACTATTATGAAATATTTTATATACTTTTATAATGGTACTAAGGAAAAAAATGAGTCTGTTGCATATATTATCTGTTATTGAACAGGAGTATCGTCCATCATCATTATCAATGTCTATAAAAGTTTGTTTGTTCATGATGAAAATCAGAACACATAAATCGTTTAAGAAAAAATATGTGCGTTTCTTTCTTTTTTCTATCGAACAACAATGATTAAAAACACTTGCAACTGCATGCATAAATATCATTGAAACAAATTAAGAACGATAAGAACTGATAAATATGTCGCCTTCAGAAGATTTATCAGCTAGACTACCTAACTTACTTTTTTTTGAACACACAAACGAGTTCAATTTTCAGACAACAGAAAAATCAAAAATCAAACAGCACACAATTAATAGCGACAAATTTTCTAATTTACATATACGTGATCTATAAGTTCATGAAAAATTGTGTGAAATTAGAGAATCTAACGAGAACGCGGACAACAAATATGAATGTAAATTAGATCAAGATTAAAACAGAACAAAAACCGAAAGATTAATGAGACAATATACTACCACATTGCTTCATCATTTATGATTGAACAAAATGTCGTAGATGGATCGTTGTTCGTTTAAAGATTAATGACTAAGAGCATTTCATGAACTCAAAATGTGGTTTTAAAGTTCGTTTTCGATCACTACTATCATAGGCGGCGCAAGTTAAAGTTCCTAGGGGTAGCAATAAATTTTTTAAACTCATAATTTTAATAAATAATAACAACTCCCAGTTTCCACTTCTTCTAACAACTCCCAGAATATGTGTTATTAGGGGTAGCAATAACTTTCTATTGCTACCCCTAATTTTCTATAGGGGTAGCAATTGGCGCGCCGCCTATGACTACTATCAAAATACAGTGCATTAGATCATTTTTTATATAACTGTCGATCGAAAAGCATATGAACACTTGCGCGTATCTCCACGGCGCAAAGAGACAGAAGAAAATTTCATAAATCATTCAAACTAGTTCAAAATATCCTCTGTTTTACATGCTTAATATGACTACAGTTCGAAACATGAGAAAAATGATTTGTCTGTCGCTGGCTAAACGTTGTTTGTAAGCAATCCTACTGATACTTAAGTCGATTTTTGTCTTTTATGTGTTAGCTATGCTTCCAGAATACTGTTCTGAGTACAGGCTGAACTTTTCAAGTCATTTGAAAAAGTTTGGATCTTTTGGTGACAATAATTTCAAATAGTCGATTTTCTCTATATATTTTGAATTCAATAGTAGTTAGTATTTTCTTCAATGGATACTCGACCAACTTCTTATATATAATAATCTACAGTACAAATAACATTCTATAACTTTGTTAATATTTCCATACATAAAAATGTTATCTACCTTGATAATCCTAATAATTCTAATCGTTTCTCTTTTTTGTTCGAAGGTCATTAGCCTTTTAAACAGCACTAATTCTATGCGTCTAAAACAAGTGTCTACATATAGGTTATCAACTGAACGACTTCTTGTGAACACATACATACACGTACAAATAAACGCCGAAGGAGTGATAGATCTGATACTATAATTGATACGAATAAATTGGCTATTATGCTCTTTCCCTCTTTTATATGCTCTGATAACACTACTGATATAGAATCCCACATAATTGAAACGTGTCTATGAAAAAAACGAAATAACTCTAATCAAACAATTAATCATTGAACTTTTTTATATTCTTCTATTTTCTTCACATTTTTATCATAGAATTATTCTCACACGAAATGCTTTCTGTAGTGTTTTGTGCTAGAATAATAATAAGTTTCTTAATATTTTCATAGACTTTCTTCACTATATTGGTTTGTTAATGTTATTTTGTTGCATTATTTGAATACCAATGTTTTGTCTGTAGTTCCTGCGTTAGATGGCATATAGGCCATACATATGATGGGAAGAACACAACGACAAATTACTATTAATACTTGGGCCTCGAAGAATGATATGAATATTCGATATACTTGAGTTTGAAGTACTATATCATAAAATGAAAATCTTCTCGAAAAGTGAAATATTTTCACACCAGCCATTGATCCCAAATTATATATTTAAGCTAGCAATTAGTCATACCTCCTGTTGAGAGCATCAGATTTCGGTGTTATTTTCTTGTGTTCTATCTATACAATACACACAGTCTATACGGCCAAACCATTTGACGGTCAGATGAGTTAGCCTTTATCACGATGTGAATAGGACTCATTGATACTCTTTACAATCTTTTTGTCTTTGAATTAACCAAAATATACACTTTAGCAAGAGAGATACTTATATATTTGTTGGAGGATAATCGTCCTATATGCACTTTCCCAATGTATCTCTTTAACTAGAGGATACTGAGCATACATCCTAAAGTTTTCTTGCGATCGGTTCATAAATGCTTGAGGAATAAGGATATAAAGGCTGCTTTTGATAAGGTTATTTCGGACGCAGAATGTAATTAGCAGATATCGCCATTGTGCAGGAATATAACATATGATTCATGGGTTATAATTCAATTGCAGAAAATCAAAATAACATTCAAAAAAACATATTCATTTGATCTCTATTCCATCAGGATTCGACAAACCATTGACGAAGAAAATTAAACTATACAATGAACTGCTCTAAATTACGTTTACAAACACGTCGATATATTTGATATAGGTTTCGCGCGACGTTAGAAACATGATAAATTGCAATCAAATGAAAACAGCGTTAAACTCGTTACAAGTGAATTGAAAAGACTCATATGAGAAGAAGGCTCCGCTCGTCTTGTTAATAGAGATGTTCGGTTTTGGATCCAGAACCGAGAACTGCAATTCCGATTCTCGAGTTAGAACCGAAACGAAAAGAACCTCAGTTCTGGGTTCTAAGCTTAGAACTGGAAAAGAATTTTTGAGGCACTAATCATTTAATGAAATCAAATCCATTTCATCTGAAAACGATAAGCACAATGTTCTTTATTCTCATATAAAAAGAAGTTGCGCAGAACTGTACCTTTATGAACATTGAACTTAATTCTCTAGAAATAAAAATATAATACCTCAGGTTAAAAAGTTCACGGTTCCGAAAAACAGGGATCGTCTAAAAAAACCACGACGCTGTTTCTGACAAAGGAACAGGAACCACGGTTCCGATTCTGAATGAAGAACCGAAAATAAGAGAATCAGGGTTTCGAGACTTAATGTGAACCGAGAACCGAACATTGTTATGTCAATTCCCATCGGTTCCTTTTTCTGATCACTCTGTTTCGAAGGGAATTCGAGATTTCGAGAAGTGTGACTGGGATAATTTAAAAGCGGCCTTCCCATCGTCACTTATTTCTTTCCTATTCATCGACAACGTTGACTCTGCTTTCGGCAGCTTACACAACTTGTTGATACGAGTATTGAGAGACATGTGCCAGTAGAAGATCGTGGGAAAAGCTGTGTTTTCGTCTATCTAAACACTTCTCTGTAACGATAAATAATGTTATCAACTCAGTATTTATACATGAATATGTATCAATAAAATAAGAACTATCTGATGAAAAATTTATTTCATGACTACTGCATTCGGGTTTTAATAATCGATTATTATCTGTTTCATCCATATGTATGACAAACAAGTAACGATAATATGGATCATATTGCTGTTGTGTATTATTAAAATAATACATGTCTGTATCGAAGTTTTTCCTGTTTATAGCATCACTGTATTCACGTCCAATCTTAAAATTTTTGAGTCGACGTACACGGCCAGTAGATAGTGAAATTTACTAAAGACTTTGATGATTATTCAATACCGGATGATGTAAAATATATTAACCGTTTATCGTCATCAACATGAACTATCTCTCAGACAACATATTTTCCTGATGTTAATTGATATTTAAGACGATTCGACCTTTACTATCATAATGATATAAATGTCCATAACCATCACAATTAGAATACCAAATAATTTTATCTGTTGTATTTAAAACTTTGATTGTTGCTGCCGATATTAGTGACTTGTACTTAGGTCGGAGAAATTTCTTCAATAAAAGGTTTTACTTCACTAGTATAAACATCAACAATATAAAAATGTGCTTTTTTCGAATTGTTTAATTGATCAAGAATATATATTTGTTCAATCATTTGATGGATATTGCGCACCAGCTTTATGATCATCATCGTCTGACTTAATAAAATTATCATAGTAGTCAGCGATGACCATAATATTTTTGACTGCATTTATCTCCTGAAAACTTCCAAAACACTGATACAAGTCACGATATATGAGCGAATGTTCTTTTATTATGAAAATAAGTACTTTGCATGTTCTATCCATTGGATGAAATTCGATGAATTTGGACACACACTCCATGCATGTGAGATAAGACTCTGTTTTCTTCAGTTTTATGTAAAGTCAATTGTTGAGCAAGCACGAACTATCATGTTCAGTTTGTGTCTACGAACAAAAGACGTCAGTGCAATTATCCAACGATATTGTGTCCATGAATGCTTGACAATGCACGTAAAACTCTGTTTTGTTTTAATTTTCTATTGTACTGTGCTGATTTAGTTTTTGAAATGATCATAGCCTAATTCTGTGTACAGGAATTTTCATTTTTAAAATACCTTGTATGGCGAGAATAGCCAGATGAAGAAATGCAGTTTTATTTTGACATTTTTGGCTCAGACGGCCTTCAAAAGCTATAAAGTATCACTTTTTATCTTTACTATAAAAACAATAAAATTTTCAAAAACTAAGTATTATAAAATGAACAGAGTTTTTATGCGCCTTCTTGGGTCATTCGATAATCGAATAGACTTCCTTTTTCAAAAAAATTTTTCAGTTCAGCTTTTTTCTCATCATCACTCGGCGTCGTATTTTGATCATCAGTAGTTTTCGTTCCAAAGCCGCCACCACCAGGCGTCAACAGAATGAAACAATCCTAGAAATAAAGAACGCATTCATCTTCTGATAATAATATAATGTAATAGACAAAACTACTCACACCAGGTTCGACAGGCACAGAGCTTTTTCCTCCCATATTAATTAATCGTCCATCAGCACGTTTCAACGTATTTTTACCGCATTGACCGCTTTCACCGCCTAGTTTATACAAACACGCAATTTTTTGCTGAAGAATATGTACTTAGATAAATGCATTACCGTTTAATCCATACGGTCTATGTGATCTTCGTTCAGTTAACACAGATAGTGTTAATTTTTTTCGAAACAATATTTGTCGTTCAACACCATCTCCGCCGTTATAGGCACCATTTCCTCCGGAGTTTTTTCTCAAACAAAATTTGAGCAAAACTACTGGATATCTTAAATATCATACTCAAAACATTACAATCTTAGATCTTGCGCATTGTCATCTAAATCAGTACCGTTTTTCAAGAATTTCTGGATCTGTAATTCGTGTGTTTGTCATGTGAGTATGAACTCCACTCCTGCCGTGCCATTTAGGACCAGCTCCAGCTCCACCAGCAACCGTTTCATAATAACTTGCCTTTTCATCGCCCCATGTAATATTATTCATACACCCCTAGACGAAGAAATGCATCAATTACAAATTAAAAGCTTTCAATGGAATGGATACTGACTTGCGATGCTGCACAACAATGAAATGCATGCAATATGACGTCTACTAGACGTTGTGAAGTTAAAACGTTTCCACCCACAACTGCTGCATCTTCACTCGGATCTAATAATGAACCTTTTGGCAAAACAACTTCCACTGGTTTCATACATCCCTTAAAAATAATCCGACAATAGTTGAACATGTATTTTTAAGTTCGTGCTTTCGTATGAGTTATTATATTCTTATCATTTAACAAACCTGATTTAATGGTATGTCATGACCGATCATGGCTCGTAGACAATAGATGATGGCTGAATATGTGATGGCTCTCGGTGTATTCCAGTTGTACAAGACTTGTTCTGATGTTCCAGTAAAATCAAATTTGGCTGTTAACTAAAGTCATTACTCAACAATTAAATTTTATTCAATTACTTATGATCTCAGAGTCGCACTTTATCAGGATCAATTTTTACGCATAATTGTATTTCCGATCCATCGTCCATGAAATCTTTAGCTTTCAAACAATTGTCAACAGCTTCTGGTAGTTTTTTAGCAACAGTTTTCAATAAATCGCGGACGGCCGTCTCAGCATTGTCCTTTAAATTGTTCACAAATAATATAGTCACTTAGATTTGAAGAAGAGTTCTTCTTCCAAACCTGAATGTATTGCATATAAGCTTGAACCACGTTTAAACTATAAATATCGATTAATTCTTGAACAAGTTTGACGCCCTGATCATAACCATTCGTAACAAATTAGTTAAAAAAAGAGAATGATGACTAATATCCATTACCTTGAAATTAGCGGCGATTTGAGCTTTTAAATCAGCAATATTATGCATTAACGTTCTTGTTCCCGAACAATTCGGAAGTTTTCCCGGTTCATTCAAACAATCGGTCAATTCTTAAACAAGAGATAATTATCTTTCACAAATTTATTCAAGGAACTATCACGTTAATCACCTTTTTCTTTAAATACGCCTTTCTCAACAATTTTAAAGGACATAAACTGTGCTCCTTCTTGCAACAGCGTTGTAGAATTAGGGGGCATGGAACCTATGGAACACGGTAAAAATCATTCTATATTTTCTGTCTATCTCAGAAATAAATTTTACCTGGTGTTAAACCACCAATATCGGCATGATGTCCTCGACTGGCCACAAAGAATACAGGCGTCCCGTTTTCTGCATGAAAAACCTCCAAGATGCAGAAATCTGTATCAATATTACGGTATACGGATTGAAATTATTCAGAATCCTACCGGTGTAATGACTGTAAAGTCGGGTAAATGACTTCCACCTGCAGCGGGATGATTCGTTAAAATAACGTCACCATCATTCAGATTGTTTTCTAATGCGCGCATCTGAGCAATAACAATGATTCATAATAAAAATTTTAGTAAAAATAACATAAGATCTTACTTGAAACTGAACGGCTTCTATTTAGTTTCATTGTAAATATAGAAGAAGAAGAAAAAAAGGCATCAGTATCTTACACAAAATACTGTTTCAAACCTACCCTGCATAGCTCCCAGATGTACCGGGATATGAGGAGCATTAGCCACAAGTCCACCGTCTGGTCCAAATATCGCGCAACTGAAATCGAGACGCTCTTTAATATTCGTTGATATAGCGGTCAGTTGTAGTACTCTAAAAAAATAATAAATTTATTAATTCTAAATATTTTCTGGATGTTCCATGTTAAACGTTTTCTGATCAGCAAAACAAACAGTAGATCTTATTTAACTTACCTTCCCATTTGCTCTGCAATTGACATGAATCGATGAGAAAAAATTGATAATTTGATTAAATCAAGTTCTGTTGATTCTGACGTATCTTTCTTATGGTCGACGGTTATTCGAATATCTCCACATTCCGTTACGAATGCTTGACAATCCGGTTCAACTACTATCGTACTATCAAAAAGAAAAAACAAAGTATAAATCTCGTATTCAAAAAATTTCACAAGTTTTATACCAGCTCGGATCAATGATAATGGCTGGACCCATTATTTGATCATTGGCAAGTAAATTTTCAATTAGAAATACAGGCGTATCAACAAATTCATCGTCAAAATAACACGAGACTTTCTTAAAACAAATGAAAAATATTTCAGCTCACAATTTATTTTCATTGTTACTTTTTCTTCTTTTGGTGATGAATTATCCGATCGACTATCAATTTTTCGATTGATTTCCATTGCCGATTTGGCTAATGCTCGAATACGGATGTCATCAACAATAATGGGTCGATCTGGTAATGTAAATCCAAATTGTTCTTTGTATCTATCGGGAAAAAACATATTTTTTTACTATAGATGCGGTAATAAATTGCGTCTGAAATGTTACTTTCTCAAAAATATATTGATAAATGTATCCATACTAAAATCTTTGTCTTCACACGTACACATTAATGCGCAATCAGTAGCATCGTAACGAAGATTCAAATATTGTTCAACTATAATTGTCTCGCTGAAATAGATACGATAGATTCATGTAAAATCTTATAAGTTAATACTATACTTAGAATGATTCACAATTCTTTTACTTTATATAAAACAAACCCTGTTACCGTGGATTTCCTTGCTTCGTCAATTCATTTATTCCTTGTTCGGATAGTTTTTGAAATCTTTCTGTTAGAAATGACCAATTTTCTAAATGAAAATACCTTTAGAGAACATACTAATTTAAAAATTTTAATGCAGAAGAAAACTTCTTTGAGAGATGCTTGCTGAACAATCTTAGTTATAATTATATTATGGGCTTCATCCGTAAAAAATGTACTTGAGCACAAACATTTGGGACAATTACTGCGTCCACGTAATAAAGCCAATATTTATTTTTTTTCTCAGAGCACTTTGTAGGTACTTCCATAAACTACTTGGTAATGGTAAGACTAAGTATTACAATCTTGGAGAAGTACTTGTAAGAATTCATGGCAAGTAAGTAGTTTTGAAAATACTTGCCAATTTTTCAAGTACTTACGAAGTACATCCCAAGGAATCAAGTACATTCAATAGGAATAGTAAATTGAAGTGTTCATATGGCAAACACAATAGCCAATCAGTATCTAACAAAGTTACAAGATATACTTACCATTATTAATACTTTTTCCACATGGTTCTTGCACTTCATGTACCACATCGGCTAATGCTAAGCCTAATGCAGATAAAACACCAGCAAAACGACTAACAAATACTGTCTTCATTCCCAATACTTTAGCTATCTGACAGCAATGTTGACCACCGGCTCCACCTGAAGACGATAAAAGCAAATTAAACAAGAAATGAATCTAGCTGAATCTAGCTGATCTTACCAAAACAAGCTAATGCGTGTTCTCGTAAGTCAAGACCTTTTCCCTATAGGAAAAAAGTATTCAGCTGTATGGTAAACTGGCTTTTTTGTGAACTACCTCAGTCAATGCTCTTATCGGCCTACTCATACTCTCATTTGCAACATGAATAAAGCCCAATGCAACTTTTTCTTTCGTTAACAGAGGTTTATTGTTCGATTTTAAAAACTCATTAATCTAAAGAAAAAATGAATCATACTAGTTGATAAATTAGTATATATGACGTATACCGATATGGTCAATTGATCAAAGTTATTTGAAGCAGCCTCAATATCCAACTGTTCATCAGCGTTCTTGCCAAATAATTTTGGAAAATATTCAGGTATCAAGCGATTCAAGATTAAATTAGCGTCAGTGATTGTTAAGGGACCACCTAAATTAATACAGAGTAATCGAATCTGCATCACTGATGGAAAAACAAGATAAAACAATACCTTTTCGATAGCAGCATGGTCCAGGAGTTGCACCAGCCGATTCAGGACCAACACGAAATAGGCCAGATCGAAACGAAAGAATTGAACCACCTCCAGCAGCAACTGTATTAATATCAAGCTGAAATAGCCAATTTCAAAAAAGTCAACGTTGTGCTGATTAGCCATTCTTTCTAAAGTCGCTTCTTATTACTTGCGGTGCTTGAATTATCACTGATGCAATCGTTGATTCTAAAACATGTTCTAAACTTCCAGCATATCTCGACACATCGGTTGATGTTCCACCCATGTCAAAACCAATAACAGCTTGATAATCAGTTTCAGCCGTATAACTCGTTGCTGAATAGCCGACAACACCGCCCGCAGGCCCAGATAAAATTGCTCTTGATCCAGAAAACCTTTAATATATGACCGTAGACTATACGTAGGAGAAGAAAACTTTAACAAACTTTTATTAACATGAATGTGAAGTACAAGTTGGACAAATCAATTTGAGATGAATTGTACAACTGAAAAACTGAAAAGTCGACTGAGAGAAACAGCAATCAAAGGACGTTAGAGCAGTTGCACATCTTTTGTTTGTACTCATACAGCGCATACAAAAGAATCTTGACAATGTTATTGATAACTATCGATCAACTGACTTCTTATCCTCACTCTTTACACTAAATACTATATGCTTTGTAGGAATTATTAGTCATTAATTAACTTCTAAACAACGTGTACTTATGCTGAAGATGCTACGTATCAGAAAATCTTACTTTTAATAAAAACGTTCGAGAGTACCGATTTGGCAATAGAGACGCATCGAATGCGACAATTCTAAAAAACTGTTTCTACAATGAGTAAAAACCGATGTTTTCATGAAGTAAGGTTTTAACTGGTTTTCTGGAAAACTGAGGGTGAAAAATGGAAAGGGTCGAGGATAGTTGTATGGGCAAAGTTATAGATCCTACTAAGTAGTCCCTATCCTGAATAAATCTCGAAAAATTTCGGAGCGTTTAGGAGAAAATCGAGGTCAAACTTCAGGAAGTTTTCAAGTAAATGGAGTATCACTCGAATGTAAAGTTAGATCGAGATCGAATTCCTTTACCATTAGAATCAACTCGTCAAGAGCTACAATTTGATGTATACTTATGCAATGTTTCGTTCACTTTCACCGACTTCGGTTTCACCCTCACCAAAAACTTAAGGTGTCTAGAAAACCACTTTCCACACGTTTTTTCAAAAAAGCGTAAGCGAGATGCTCTACACGATGGGCAAAGTGAAGTTTTCGCGGCAAGATGCTCTGTATAAAGTGGGCGGACTTGCGTGGAAGCACCCCTCATAGTAGAAAGACGACACCGGTTTTGAAAGTTTACTCATTTCTCGGAAGTTGGTATAAGTTAATTAAGACAGATAACACAAAAAGCTAATTTACAAAATATTGCAACACTAGCTGTACATTCGAGTCATATTTTTATCAAGTCTCGACGATCAATGATCACCCAGTACGATTGGATGGCTCGCAAGAGAAAATGTCCATCAAGAAGAAAAAAGAGATTTGATGATGCAAAACAATAAGTTATATTTTCGTTTCATCCGATGGATTTTATACAGTAGTAATTAAGTGAGTTCGAAGAGATTAATTAAGAAAAAATTGTCTAGGAAAAATGTGTTTTGATCACCAACTTGATTCATTGCGAAATGATCACCAAAAAATAAGACTTTTGATCACTAAATCAATTAACGAAAATTAAATTAAAGAAAATATATACAAGAAGAGCATAGCAATTTAATATCAAATTAATTAGTGGACAACTGTCAGTTGTGGACAATTAGTGGAATATAAGAAGAATATTTATAGAAAAAACTAATCGTCAAACCAATTAAACAAAAAATATACAAGAAAAGCCTAACTTTATGGCAACAAGGCCGTACAAACCTTTTTCGGACGACCTTTACCTTTTCTCTTACCCCATCGTTCACAACGCGTTTCGTCCATGACCTGGTACATGCTGAATGGTTTGGTGATCATTTCGCAATGAATAAATTTGCAATCCAAAAAATTGATATCCGGTCGCCTGTAATTTCTAACATTATGTATAGTAAAATACTATCCAGAAACTCAAAACTCTTAAATGGCCAGAACTAAATTTACGTTCGATCAAGGCTCTAGCTCTTCAAATACAAAATATGTAAAAGTGTTTACTAACTTGTCAACCGGTGTTAAACCACCGTCGGATTGCATAAAGAGCACATTAAGATGTTCTAATTTGTTTTGGAATGCACTTGAAAATGTATCTATATAACGTTTTAAACATGGGGTTAAATACGCATCGGAACATGCTGAAAACAAAAGTAACTTCAAAAAACTTTGATTAAAAGGCAGACCGCGGGCAATCTACCTGTATGAGCTCGAGGTACGTATCGCTGCATAGAAATAACTTCATGTGACAAGGATACATTAGTGAAACCCATTTCATTTGCAATTTGACCAACACGTTTTTCATGATCGGGAAAACTAACAATAGATGTATATAGTGAGGTGGGTGATGGACGAAGATCCTCCCGATTCTTCACGGGGCGGACCTTGTGAGGAAGATTTTTTGAAAGCTTGACGAGGCAAGAACTTCCCGACGCGAACGCCGCGAAGGACATTTTTTGTTTGAACGAATGAAGAGACGGCGACGCTGGACGGAATTCTTTTCAGTTCACACTTTAAAAATATGTTTATTCTTGTGAAGCAAGATGAAACAATGAATAACTCATGTTAGCAGAGATTTTCCAGACTCAGGAGGATCGATGAGAAAGTGCCAGAGGGAAGTTTTATCAAGAGATGACGATGGACGAGGCGGTGACGGAGCAGAAAGCGTACGGTGCAATCCCCACGAAGTACATTTATCGAAACTTGGAGAGGTACGGGGTGATGATGAGACAGGAAGTTTGCGAGGCGATCGTCACGAGGGAGCTAAAGATAGTTCACCGCCCACTTCTGATGTATATATGTTCTATGTAAGCCTAAACAATAAATGTAAGTCTCACCAGTAAGAATGAAGAAGAGCTATTGCAAGTGAAGAAATTCCTTTTTCTCGAATATGTTCTAAATCTGTTCGCAATTTTTCTTCGTCAACTGGTTGCCATATTTCTATCTATATAAGCATATGAATGAGTCTATTCTAAGTGAAATACAATTAAAAAACTATTACCATATCTCCTGTTGCTGTTTTCGATCGTTGGCAGTCTTTGTTCAATCGGCAATCATCTCGAGCCAACACAACTCTCTCATTTACTTCCACTACAGACTCATATAATGCATCTGGAATAGTAACAGTCTAAATAAAGCAGAAGAATAGTTGGTTTATTTTCCCTTAGAAATGCTCATATATATTACCAAATCGAACAATTTTGGTCGAGACTGATTTCCGATGTATAATAGATCACAAAAACCTTTTGTTACTACTAATGCTATACGTTCGCCTTTTCTTTCAAGTAAAGCATTAGTCGCCACCGTTGTGCCCATTCTTATCCACTCAATTGTTGATGGATCCAGAGGAAAAGCAACCTGTTCTTTTGCATCCTGAAATATCCATATTTACACAAAATGCACAAATAAAACTCATATGAAAATACTACTTGTTGTAAAAGTCTGCGAATCGCTTCCGTTGGAGCATCGTCATACTTTTCTTTGTATTCGGATAACAATTTCATGGTAACAATTTTTCCATCAGGTTTTCTTGCTACAACATCAGTAAATGTTCCACCACGATCTATTGCCACTTGAAGGCGCTGTTGTTTCTGTTGTTGTTCTTTCATAATTTAGAAACTTTTTATTCAAAACTATTTTATCTAGAATTAAGACATTCTCCAGTACTATATTAAAAATCTTCGTATTTAAATCTATCCCTAGTGACGCGTTCTTTTCTCAAATTCAGAACTTTCTTGAGATATACGCATACATCTGGAGTTTTACATGCCTATGAATCTCACACATGTTGGAAAAAACTTCTTTAGAAATAGTATCTCGTTATTAGTCACGTTTTCATGCTTGATCGAATATGAGGAGAATAAAAACAGAAAATTTTTTAGATTAACATATTAGAAACTAATGACACCTTCTCTACTCTAGATAAAAACCAAATCAATGGAGGAGTAAAATTTAAAAAAAAAAAAACATACATGACCTTTATTTCATTTCATTAAGTTTAGTGATAACATCATCTCATGTTTCAGACACACTTTATAATGTGATATACAATAAAACAAAACGTTTGGATTATGTGTGAAAACAATGATCTCTTGTAATAGATGTGGTACTTTCATGTGTCAAATATAATTCATATAAAAATAATAAACAAATTAGTAATTGTGATATGAAAATTGATAATTCGAGTACCTTTTTCCCAGTTCTCGTACTTGACATGTTTTTCTCGAATTTCGAAAAAACATATCCAAATACTTGTGACAAAACGTTTTCCAGCAATAAATTAGTTTATGATTAAAAAATCTTCTTTATATCCGCATGATCGATGATTGAACAAACAAAAAATTCTCGGAGCTCAGGAGTGATTTCCTACATGAGTCACATAAAGTTTTATACTTGTAAACATTTTTGTTTTCATTATAAAATAGTTGAAATATCCATGAGTTTTATCTTGAAATTATTTATTTTTGAGTTTCAAGATTAAATTTAAGTAAACAATTTCCAGATAACCGTAAGAATAGTATACTATTCCTGACTGGATTATCCAATAATGAAAGTAGAAAATTAAAAAAAAAATGGAACATCATTGAAGAGTTAGAGAAATCTGTTTATAGAAAACAAAAGATGTATTACCATCCGCTGCAGTATACCTGTAAAAAGGAAATTATTTGAAGAAAACTATACAAAAGTTTTTAACATAATGTATATATGTTTGAGTCAATTTGAAGTCGAATAAAGTCTTATTATATATCAATAAAACGAAATCTCTTTAGTAAAATATATACCAATATATACAGACAATGTGCATAGAAGATTTCAAAAATAAGATTTTAGGCATGTAAAGGTATATTTCATTGAGATTAGACACAAGTAACATCTACCTAGATTTGACGAATACTTCTAGAACAGATAGTACAAGAATGTGATTGCTTTTGATTCTTACATATTCGAAGCTGCCTAGACTGACTTTATGTTAATATAGCTACTCGCATATGTCCCAGCACTGTATAGAACATCCAACAAGGAATGAATTTGCTCTGAAGTAGTTGTAATACTCTGTTTACTTATCGTTCGATGTAAATTGATCACTGAATAAAAACATGACCGACTGTACTAGATTGACAACAGAAAATGCAGAATTATTTTCAGGCACTTTTCTGGACGTAAGAATGTGTATGAAGTAAGAAATATCTACTCGTCAAAATACTACGGTTAATATCAACACCAATACTTTCAATGTATAAAATTTTTTTCGTAGAAATGATAACTGTATTGAATGAACATTTTCAATTTATCTTAACTATGACCGTATTTTCTCATCTTAGTTAAACACAAACCAATACAATACAGTTTGTTCAGTATGCAAAAGGTGCAACTTGTTGTTAATTTTGTACAAGTGATTAGTAATTTTTCATAATTCATATAAAATGTTCTTTCTTCTGTCCATTACTCGATATTGGTAGATACTTAAACAAAAGTTTCACAAGTTAGTATTTGTTATTTTATTTTCAAAACAACAATATACAGTAGAATTGAATAAAAAAACAAAAAGAAATAAGGTAACAAAAAAGTTTTCATCAATCTTGTGTTTTATTCTCCAACAGTTTAGCTGCTATGGCCTTGCCGCCAGTTTTTTTAGAGATTGGAACGGAACTATTAGAAAGTGTTAAATATATTTCTAAAATGAGAATAGTTTCGGTTAACTGTATTTGAGCCAAATCAATCCTAAAACAATGAAAATAGACAAATAGTTGACGAAATGCATTTTCTCGAGAAATATATACTTTCGAAATGCTGCATCTAGTTTTTTTATTTGATCTTTTTCAGCTAAAACAAAACAAAGAGAAATATGCTAAAACATTTTTCCATTTTGCTTTTCAATTTGAGCAGTACCTGGTGATAAGATATCTTCAACTTCCTTAATTTGTTCTTCAGCCACCGATTGTTCACGCATATCAAGAATAATTTTATCAACTTTTTCACGTTTATCAATTAGCTTTTGATGACGTTCAGTTTCGTATGTATGACGTTGCATTAGATTAGACATTGTCTACAACAACAAATTTCATACTTCGAAGAAACAATTTAAAATTGTACAATTTTTACGAACTTTGTAACATTGTTCCAGAAGTGATAAAACAACATTATATAAATTTACTCGAAAAAAATAAAATGTTCTCATCGGATTAAAATCATTCGCTTTTGACAATTCCTATAAAACAAAAATAATGTACAATTAATCTCTATCATCATCCATTTGATTACTTCTAATGATAATATTCCATCGATAAACATTGAATATACATATTGTTGAGCTTCTTTAGCGCTAATCATAGCCATATCTTCAATCTGATTATTAAAAAAGAAAATAAAGATATTATTATTCGTTCTATTACATTAAGACGATAATATCATACCTGTTTCTGAGATAGACAGCCTCGTTCTTCCAACATATTGTAGATTCGTAATGCGTTTGATCCATAACTAAATACCATTAAATTAATGAAGAAGAGAAAATGATGACTCTTACAAATTATATACCGTTCTTTTAGAAATGATTGTGCATGTGCTTTTGTCAAACCAGTTGATGCTAGTTGAAAATCTAAATTAAATATTATTCAATTTATAAAAATATCAACAATATCAACTGATTTATTCTAACCTATAATATACGATCCTTTTCCTTGTTCATCAACTTTGATAACACAATTATTCTAAAAAGAACTTTTTGTAGCATAAATACGTTGAAACCTATAATAACATGATCAACGTGATAATACTTACAACATCTCCAGTTATAACACTCATATATTTCTGTATTAAATCTTCCGATAATGGATTGGTTGTGGCTAAACTTTTTGATATCTGAAAATCTAGAACACCATGTAATAAACGCAATCCAACCATTGGCAAAAAAAAGTGTAAAATACACAGACACACTTAAAAACCGAGAGTGAAGTTTCACTGAAATCAACGTCGAGGGCTTAAGATTTTGTGAGTAAATCCGATGACTAACAAACGAAAAATTAAAGTGTTGTTACGTTGTATGAGTCAAAGTAAGTAGAATACGTATAATTCTATTTGTTTCTGATCTAAGCGGAGGACAAATAAATATTAAATTCGATCAATACGTACGTCTAGAGTCGAAAGTTTAATTGTTCGTTGAGAATTCGGCTGTGGTTTTGTTTCAGCCAAACGAAGAATAGCTCGAATGATTTCTCCAGCATTCTAAAAACAAAATCCAGTTCTTTAGAAAAAAATTCTAGATTATATGACAAATAATTAATATATGCGATAGTTTTCGTCTATCAAATCGTTAAAATGATGACTCACTTGATCAATTCTACTTGTAAATGCACTAATCAATTCTTGATCACGTAAATAATCGAAAAATCGTTGAAAATTTACTTTCCAAAAAATATTTTCATCGCCAAAACTATTTGTATTATTACTACTTTTGAATTTTTTATTTGGTTGTGGTTCAGTGGTTGCTAATCGCTTTACTTCATCTTGTGTTAGTTCTGGTACTTGGTATTGAGTTGATGGTGCTTCTTCAACAATTATCGGCATATTCGACATTTGCTTTGATTCTTGATTACTAGTTGAAACACGTTGAATAAATTGAGCAGAAGCCAAATGTTGAAAACAATCTCTAATTGATGTAATACTAACAGAATCTTTGAACACTTTACTCAATGTGTTATATACATCCGCTAATATCTGACTCATTTGTCTTTTACCATGTAAAAGTAATTTTTCAATAATAAGTTCACCGGTACCATGATACAATTGTTTAGCACAATGAATACATTTTGCATAATGTAATATGTACAGAGCACGTTTTACATTGAACATATACAAAACACGTTTTGAATTAGAATCATCTTGTTTATATTCGACGATATCATGTATACATAAAACAGATAAACATTGTGAAACGGTTGAAATCGATAATTTTAAATCACGTGCTATTATACCAAGTTGCAACGGACCTTTACGATTCAGATAAGATGTTATTTGTTTTGATGTACTATCAAAATGATTTTCAATTAAATCCAGTCCTAGACGTAATTGATAAGTAGTCATTTGTGTATTCTGAAATGTAAAAAGAATAATTATAAAGTACAAACATTCTTCAACTAGATATGCGGAAACGTATGCATAACACAAGTTTCGCGACTGTTTCCAATAGTGTTATTCGTTTAACGTTGCTCAGCTCGTTTCATGACGAAGCTAATGTTTCTGACGTTGCGGCAAAAACCTAGTTAGTATTCAAATTTCTCAGTAAATGATATAGTCGTGATCCATGTTGAAATGAGGTACCGTAGACTTCATTTGTATGTGAAAAGAATCAAAATATTTTTAATTACTTTACTTTGTTCATAGCATTATACTAGAAAACGTATATTTTTTAAATAAAACAATAATAAAAAAATGCAGTATTATACCCGACATAATATACAACATAGATACAAAACATCTAAAATGTCTCGAACCAACGATTGATATACGTACAACACAATATTTGCATTAAATTAATCTTTTTTGTTCAATTTTTTCTTGTCTGATTTATCTTCACGAAATGCTACGACAAGAAAACCAATCAATATAACGTGTATCACAACAACGGTGACAATAACCGATGAAATATAACTACTACGATCTGACATATTAAAGAAACCATCAAATATGAATTCTTTTGATACAAAATACGATGTCAATGGTGCAAATATCATTAACAGTGTAAAAAATAACATTTTTTTAAACACAATCCATATCAATGATTCATCATCTTGATTTGAAATAATTGTATCAATTACCGTTGTTGACATCTGTAAAGAAAAATGATAGATATATGATAGATATTTCAAATTTTCATAATAAGAAGTTCAGTTTTATCTGTCTAAGAGCTCAAAATATCTTGTTGTAGTATATGAACGTTAAATAAGAAGAGCAACGCTTAAATCATATCTTTTATTTACAACTTGTTCGATAGAACTTTACAATAGTATAGGGATAAAAATACAATACAAACAATGTACAAGAATCAAAAAAAATAATAATGTTCAAGCTAACCTAAACCAGGTAGAATAATACCAACATTTTCCATAAGTTTACTTGTTATTTGTTTCGATTCTGTTGATGATTGAACAATTTCATTTCCAAGACAAGCCATTAAATTGCATGCACACAATGTTCCATCAAATAAGATTGTTGATAAATTCTCAACTGATGTTGCTCTGGGATTCAAATGACCCAATTGTCTTACCTTTTCACTCATTTTTGTTAAAGATTCACCCAATAGATAGATTCCAGCTGCTATATCGACAACATCATAGGTCTTAACATGTTGTTGTTGTTGTTGTTGCTGCTGATGTTGTCTTGCAAATGCGTTTGGTGGACGAATCGCTGTCTTCGATGATTTTGTTGTTTGTAGATTTTCTAATGGTGTTGTTTGTGGATGAATTTGTTTAGCATATTGATTTAACGTTTTTTGTAAAAGTATCGGTGTTGTTGTTTCGGTTTGTGATTGGGGTTGTTGTCGCTTTGATGATTTTTTTGGCGATTTTTGTTGATGTGGTAATTCATGTTTGATAACTACTTTTTGAAAATGATGATTTTCAGCTTCAGCCTTTAGACACCAACGTTTTCTATCGTGTAAACTCATTTTTTTCCATGAACGACACAATGTTTGGTTATCAACCGATTCATGGCTATGTCGTTGACGATATTTAATTGACCATAAACTAAAACCATCCAAGTTGTCTTTTGGAATTGACAGCATTAGTTGATCATCTTCATTCGGCCCGTCTTCGATATACGAATCGTCGTCACTTTCATTTGGAATTTCATCATCATCTTCACCAAATTCTTCATCAGGTTCTTCGTCTTCTTGTTCGTTAATTTCAAAGTCAATGTCGTCTAAAAAAGAAATTAAATTTGATACATGCTGTTTTCATGATCGTTTCATATAGCGATCAAAAGCCAGGTGAGGAGCAGTGACTACAATTCAACTCAAAGTCCACAACCGACCATAATAATTGTAAAAATATTTTATTTCTCACCTGTTTGTTGCTTTGTTGTCTTCTTTCCTCCTTTTTTTGTATGCTTCTTTTTATTCTTACTTGCTGCCTCCGACTTAATTGCCATATTAATAGCATCTAAGTCGTCTTCTAAATTTTGTTGCTCTTGTGTAGATACTTGAGTTTTTTTCTTTGTTGAACGCTTTGATTTGCTTTTCGATGGTGGTGGTTGTTGTTCAGTTGGAATAGTTGGTGGCAAAGAAGTTGTTGGTGTTACACCGTGAAGTAATTCTTTGAAATACGGTGTATAACGTATTACTCGACCAGATTTTGTTTGTCGTACTTCATTGATCAATGTTGGTGTTTTTTCTAGTTCACCTTGATTAGCCTCTGCAAGTTGAGTATTTGATTTGATTGGACTTGTTTCTAATGACAAAGTATTCGATGACTGACCAATTAGACGACTTAACAATTGTTTTCTTGATGTTTTCGTTTTTGATGTCGCTATTTGAGGTTGTATTGAGTGTTCATCGCTGACATAAGACATTTCTACCAGTGGAGATGCAAAGGCTTGTTCTTCTTCTTCGCTATTATTATCTTCAACATCTTCTTCTTCTTGTTCATCCATACTCTCTTCGTGTTCAGTTGAAGGTAGTTCAACAATTTTCAATCGATCATCCGACGAACCATTCGAATAATCTTCTTCAACTGGATTTACATATTCCTGAAACAAATAAAGACAGAAAGATCTTCAATAGGACTGATATAACTTCGTCTACGTTTTTTTTAAATAATTTAGATGATAAGAGCTATCTAAGAAGAAGTACTGAGCCTTGCACGTTAGTCTCATAAGTGATCTAGCCGTTTGAATGGCAGAGAAGATATAGTCAATTTATGTTGCAACAATGTCAAGTACGCTTTCAATGATACAAAAAGAATGAACATACACTATCATCTACTTCATTTGCATCTCGAACAGACTGAGAACGAAGATTAAATTTTAATTTGATTCCAACTTTTTCTGTTGATTGAGGTAATATTGGAGGCTGCTGATGTTCTTCTTCGTCAAATGCGTAATCATTATTATTTGTTGTTGAACTTTGATCATCACCATTACTGAATTGCTCACTAGCTGATAAATTTTGTTTTACTAGTTGTTGTTGTGTTTCAGACGGTGGTCGCGAACGTGTTTTGCGTGTTAATTGACCAAGAATAACTGATACTTGTTTTTTGGCTTCTCGTTGAGGACGACTACCCGTAACGGCCGTATATGGGGACTGTATTTGAGATGATGAAGCTTTGCTATCGTCGTCTTCAAGGCGAACAGGTATTGGAAAACCACTGACTAATGTTGGTGACGTTTCATTAGTGTCCATTAAAAAGACATCATCGACTTCAACCACATTGTTATTATTTGTGGTTGTTGCCGAAGGAATATATGTACCAACGGCTGCATCTATATCATACGCATCAATTTCACTATTATCGACCGACTGAGTGTCATTTGATAGTATTTCTTCATTTGGGTGAGTAATTTTATTGGCAGAAGCATCGTCTTGAACTCCAGCGGCTGATGATTTTACTTTTTTATTACTGACACGCCCAGATTTCTTTTTTTCACTTTGAGGTGATGAACTCTCAACACTTGCTGTTGGTGCCTTGAGGTTTAACCGTGGTTTAAAGAAAAATGCAATTTTTTTGTCTGCAGCAGACATTATTCAGATTGTCTAAAATAAATATAAGAAATTTTTCTTTCTGATTGCTAAGTAAATAAGGTATTAGAAAACATGGATCTTCAACCAAAAAGCATTTCCTCATAGCAAAATTAGTACGCTGAATAGTTTGACCAACGATTCGATACGCCATTTGAGTCGCGAGTTGTGTTTTTAGATGAATCGCGTTTAGTCGGAGTAATCATTACATGAGACAAACGCTAAAGTTTCAAAACAGACAGCAAAGAATCAAAAACTTTTGTCTAAACTAGTCTACACCATCAACGTTTTAGATTAAAGTTTTGCGAGGAGGAAAGTATACTGAATAACTAAATCTTTTGATGAATAACGTACTTCTGGAGTTAATTGAAAATTGAAAATCAGTCTGTTACTACTTTATAATGAAAAATAAAATGCCTACTGAACGAGTTCTAAACGCAACGTAACAAAACTTCTTGCGTAAAAAATAAAAACTGAGTCAATTGCTACCAAATTTATGCGTTACTCATGCAAAACTGTGAAGAAAATTTATCATATTTATGATAACTTTTGAATAAGAGCTGCGGGCGGTTCTTTAAGCTATGTAGTAATATCACACAGAGTGATACTATTCGCTTAACTTTAGTCTGACTCAGAATAAAATATAAGAGCGTGCTTTCATACCGCTACGTACACGAAATGTTTACTAAATGATGCAACACCGTATGTTTTGTCGTTGTAAGAAGTTACCTGCTATCGGCAGCTGTTATTGGCTGGTAACTTCTTACAACGATATTTTATTCATCAAGATCTGGTGGTACAAATGAATGGTAAAACTGCACTTTTTCCTTCCTTCCTTTTTGCCTTTTTTTCTGCACAACCACAAGCTGTTGAGCGAGATAGACAGAGGAACATTTATATTTGTTAATTACGTGTTTCAAGAATCCAACAAGAAGCCAATACTGTACCTCTCTGTGGTAAATTATATTCTCTCCACTAGTTTAGATGTGAGATACACTTTTGTAAATCATTGCGTGCAAAATCTTTTACATTAGAATACTTGTTTAGGGAAATAATCTATTCAGGTCCTTTTATATCTAATGTTATTTCCCCGAACTTAGCTCCCTCTATCGCTATGGTCTCGATTTACAAAGTTATAGTATGCCATGACTTACAGTTTTTATCGACTATACTTGAAACAGAAAGCTGAATATTTTCCCTATTCGAGACTCCCGGCAAAACCCCCACGGGAGTCCTGTCACGGGGTCCTGCTGGAGTCAAGTGGGACTTTCAAGGAATTTCTCAGAACTCGTGAGGACTCCCGTGGAACTTTGAGGATTCTGAGGACTTTCATTAGACTCCCGCAGGACTCGGAAGTTCCACAGGAGTTTCACGGGAGTCCTCAGGAATCCTGAGAAATCCCTTTAAAGTCCCATCTGACTCCCGTGACAGGAGTCCCGTGGGAGTTTTGCCGGGAGTCTCGACTAGGGTTTTGCTTCTCTCACTCACTCTCCTACGAAAAAATATGGTTGGCTTCTTGTAGCCGTAAATAAATAACAGCCGTTAATCAGCTGAAAGAATGAATGACTGACTGGCAGAAGTTTTGTTTGCCTTACTTTTCTGTTGGTGAAATATCAGTTGAAAGGAAAATAATGTCAATGAAATCGATGTCGTAAAGTATTTCTCGCACGAAAATCGAAGATAAATGTGATAAAAACTAGTTGAATTTTGTATCGTTCGATTCATTTCAGTTTCATGTAGATCATGACGCATGGGTTGTCTTTTGGAGCCATACCACGATTACATCGGCCTGGTGCCGGCAAGGTGGAACTTTGGGAGATAGTAGAACTCAACATTCTAAACATAACGGTTATCTCGAAAAAAAATTTTTAAATGACAGCATCGAGTCCGAGCGGCCCAGGTCAGTAGGGGGTTTCCAGAAAAGCCGGGCTAGTTCCTTGACCTTACAAGAAAAAAAGCTGTAAATTTTATCATGCATACTACTTGTTAAAGTGACTATCTTTTTTACCGAAAACTTTTATTTTCCGCGTCCTGTTTTTTGGGGAAAAATTATGCAAAATAATCATTTTCGAGTTTTTCCCACTCAAAGATTTCTATGAAGACAAAACGAAAATTTGACACCAATAAGTGTTCCAGCCCAACTGTCTTTTAACTAACTGTGAAAGCTCCAGGTCAGCAGCTATTTCTCAGACCGAATGGCAGAGCAATCACTGGGTGCTACTTTCTCATTTTCACCGATGCCAGAGACAATCGCAGGATTAACCCGTAACGCTCCATCGTGGGCCTACATCTACACGCATAGTACAGCAACTCCAGAAAGGAGCACTTTTAGCCAATGCGTATTGGTCGAGAAAATCGAGCTCAAAGTTGTGAAAAACATAGTACTATGCTTTTTTGAAAACAATGTTAAACATATCACCGGAAAAAAAATAAAGTTGGTTTTGAGTTGCTGAAAAGTGCTTGTTTCGTATTCAGCACACTCGATAACCCAGAAGATTGTCTATTCTTGGCGAGGGGTACTTCTAAAAGTTTAGGAAAAATTGTCAAACTAATATTACTTTCCCACAGAAATTTTTCTGCGCCATTTTGTTTGAAAATTTTTCCTCGAGTGCTGAACACGAAAAAGCACTTTTCACCAACTTAAACTTTTTTTTGCTCCGGTGATACGAACACGGTTTTTTCGCAGATAATTCGTCTCTAGACTAATTTTTCATGTTGATTACGAATTTGTCACTAGTTTAAGGCATTGTTAGCGTAGCTGATTCTTTAAAGACGACACTTCGAGGCAGCAGAACATGTTCTGCTGCCTCGAAGTGTCTTCTTCTTTTCATCTATCAGCGGTTGGCTTTGAACGTGTTTTTCTGACACAAAAGGTAATTTTACTACAGTCTACCAAAAAAAGGAAAATATCTAGTTTTTCGCCTTGTTAGTAAAAATGAAGTGGAGCTATCGAACTTCCTCTGTTCGGATATAACAGAAGAATTACTTGCTTTAAGATAAGACAAGCCAGGCCTCAATATATTTGATTTTGGGCGATTTATAAAAGATTTCCCAAATGCCATCAAAACTGCAGTTTGCAAACGGCGATTTTTGATAAAATCGATATAAACAAAACTTTTCCCGCAACTAGTTGCAATTATGAAGGGCTTTAAACATAGCCAATTGATAAAGCCTTTCAAGGGCTACAAAGCGGGCATCTTCTCTTATTCTGCATCGCAAAATACAAAGAAATAGAACTAAAAAACACTCGTTACTTTTTTGTTCTTTAGAGGTATTTTAGCTCATTTCCCAAAGATCAAACATCTATAAATAATATTTCGTTACGCGGTAATAGAAAAAAGTATATGAGTAAGCTGGGATAATTATAACCAGGTACAAACTTTTTCTCAATATCTTACGAATGGTTAAGCCATTTTTGGTCCGAGAAAAATCGTGACTACACAGGTAGATACATATGACTGTCAGCTATGCACTGATGTAAAAATTGTCATTGAAAATGCATTACCGCTAATTAATGCCATTCAATTCCCAATGCATTACTCTTAACTGGTTATAATTACCCCATGAAAAATAGCAGTGTGGTTATAATTATTTCAGTTGGTGTATATCGAAAAAAAATGATTGTCTTTTGATTTCACTAATTTCTCATTAAGTAGTTAAGAGTACCCCTCCCCTTATTTTGTGCTTGCCGTAGAAATGCTGCGAAATAAAAACTAAAACTCACTAAGGCTTCATATTTTCAAACTGATTGGAAACTCAATGGAGCGTTTTTGTTTCAAGTTTTTAACTATTGCCGTTCACCAGTTTTCCAGAAAACTCAGTTTTTCATTGTGTCACATTACGACCCCCCTTAAATTTCATCCGATCGAGTGAAAAATTTTATTAGAGGTACTTAAGTTCATTGCGCAAAAGTATATTTTTTGAATTTCCTTTTAGACCTTTCTTTACCGAGTTACACGGTTTCTGAAATTTAAAAACTCGGTTTTTGAAAGTTTTTCAGTATTTTCCTATATTCGTATAACTCGGTAAAGAAAGGTCTAAAAGGAAATTCAAAAAATATACTTTTGCGCAATGAACTTAAGTATCTCTGATAAAATTTTTCACTCGATCGGATGAAATTTAAGGAGGGTCGTAATGTGACATAATAAAAAACCGAGTTTTCTGGAAAACTGGTGAATGTCAATAGTTAAAAACTTGAAACAAAAACGAGAATTTGCTCCATTGAGTTTCCAATCAGTTCTGAAAATATGAAGCCTTAGTGAGTTTTAGTTTTTATTTCGCAGTATTTCTACGGCAAGCCCAAAATGAGGGGAGGAGTACCCTTAACAGTAAAGCTCATTGACTGGAAATTTATGAGATTGGATAAAGCTCGATATTCTCTACAAGATGGACTAATTTTTAATTGAAAAAGTAAAAGTTTACCGTTGGATCAAAGTTGATTTACATCGTTCCAGTCGTTTTTGCTGTGATGGTTGGTTATAATTACCCCAAATGGAGTAATTATAACCAGTTAAGAACAACGCACTGGAAATTGAATGGCACTAATTAGCGATAATGCATTTTCAGACAATTTTTACGTCAGTGCATAGCTGAAAGTCATGAAAGTCTACCTTAGTCACCATTTTCCTCCGCCCAAAAATGGCTTAACCATTCGTAAGATACTGAAAAAAAGTTTGTGTGCCTGGTTATAATTATCCCAGCTTACTCTATAAGTCTTGGTTTAAACTTTTATTAAAAATAAGAAAAATATCAATACCAACGGGTTTAAGTCCATTATAACCAAACGAAGATGAGATTATATATAAGTATTTCATGTATGTGGGTATATAATTTTTGCTACGTGAGTATTTTGTAAAAACGTTTAAACGAAAAGGCTTCTTGTTAAAAGATGTTGCTGATGAAAAACTAAAAAAAGATTTGCAGTAAATATGATTGTAGTACTATTTGTATTAGTAGGATTTCTAGTAATAACTTTAGAGTACGATCTATAAAGATATGTTGGGATATGATTTTGTAGTAATATATTTAATTAAACATTTATAATAAAATTGTTTTCTGATTTCAGTAGAAATCGAAGAAAATGGCCGTGAGTATAAACGTTTTGAACATTTCAGATAGCTCAGGTGAAATCTCACTCCTGGGTCTTTATCTTGATAAATACGGTGTTAGGCAATTAAGTCTACATTTTGTGCACGTAGCTGATGAGTTTTCATATGATATAAAGGAAACACGATCGTATGTTCAAAGAAGTGGAGCACAATATCTCGAAAATCAGAATAAGGTTAGCTTTTTTATACAGAAACCTGATCATTTTGACTATATATATAGGAAAATGACTATATCTTATCTTGATCAAAACGGTTCACGTGCACAATGCATTTTTTTAATGAATATTGTGCAAAAAAATAAAGATACACCAAGAAAATAGGACTACTTGCATTGAGTTGACATCGACATCAAGAACAGATTCTATTGTAAGACTAGACATTAGAGAAAATTGAATACCAGTAAGAAACACGTAAAACATAATTTCCAACAGGAAATATTAAAATGAAACAAAAAAAGTGAAAAAGAAAGTTAGTCTTAGATTAGAAAATAAAATATTATTTCCAACCAAGAGTATTTCTTTTAAGGCAAAGTCAGTCCACAAGAAATACTTCAGTTTGCAATTGCGAATGAAAAAAAGTCTCGAAGATTTACAGTAGCTAGCCGAAATATTGAAATTTTGAACTAATAAGCATTGAACGAATGAGATTTGACATTAGATAAAAGCTAAGTAGAACTTTAAATCTGTAATTTAGTTTCTCGTAGTGTCTGAAGCAAATTTCACGATTTTGATATGGTTGAAGTTTGTGCTTCGAGATTATTAGTCAAACTACTAACCGTATCTGACGACAATAAATTGGACGGTGTCGTTGGTGTTTGTACAATATCAACTGAATCAACAGAACAGACAGAAAGTAGTGGTAAAAGTGGTGGAACTGATTGTTGATGATGAGATCCGTCGGACATAGATGATGTATTTGTTGTTGTTAGTGTATCTGTACTTGTCAAATTTAAAAAACTAAATTGTAATATTGTATCATCATGTGAACTACTAAAAATTTGAAATTCATCAAATTGTAAACGAAATACGCGACCGGAATGTCCTGTTAATGTTCTAATGCATAAAGAACTTGTTGGTGAACGTGGATCGAGTGCTTGTTGTAAATCCCATATTTTTATTTTACCATCGTATGCACCACTCACTATACGTTTTGAATCAAATCGAAGACATCTCACTAATTCATCGTGACCTTCTAATATTCTCAAACACTCGCCACAATCAATATCCCATATACGACTAAAAAACAAAAAGAAATTAAATGTAAAATAATTCAGAAATGAAATCGTAAACTACTACTCACATTGTATTGTCTGAACTACCACTTACAACTATTTTATCTCGATATTGCAGGCAGGCAATACCGCGTTTATGACCCAGTAGTGTTCGAACAAATTCACACATTGTCGAACACCATACTTTGATTGTGCGATCGCCACTTGCACTCACTAATAAAAAATTATAGCATGTATCTTACAATAATAAGAATATCATTACTATCGAAGTAGAAACTTACCTATGTATTTATCGTCAAAATCGACAACATTAACAGCAGCTCGATCTTAAAGGGATAAAAATAATGTAACTTATTAATAAAGCAAGTGTGATCAGATATTGGACGAAAATCACTGAGATTAGAAATACATCTATAATTCATTTCAAGAAATAATCGTATAATAGACGAGTAACCTACGTCCAACAAGTACACGACGTATTGTGATATCCGATGGTGAATTCATTTTCCAAACAGCTATTGAACGATCTTTCGAACATGTAATCATTGTTCCATCCATAAATCGTAAATGTAATACGGCTTCACAATGATGTAATAATGTATTTAATAATTCACCAGTTTTAATATCCCATACACGTATGGTTGAATCACTTGAACCGGTAATAATCACTTTTTCATCATATTGTAAACATAGTACACTTCCTATAAAAGCAAAAGAGAAGAAAATAATTGTACAATGTTTTGTTCGAAATTTTATGTGGAACAGTCGTTTAACATTTAATATCTATGATATATTGGTAAAAGATATCCTTATTTTTCACTTACCATTGTGTCCTGTCAATACTTTTGTACATTCTAATGTTTTTCTATCCCATATTTTAATTGTATTATCTCTTAATCCACTAACTATTTTATCATCATCATATTGTAAACAATAGACACCTTTACTATTCTGTGAACGACATTGAATTTTTTGTAATACAAAATTTCCCGTTCGCCAATTTGTTTCAATTTGTTCGATATCTTTACATATTCGTGGATATAACTGACGATAAAATTCATGTGTTTTTTGGAATTCACCATTTTGTAACAATTGACGAAATAGATAACGTGACCAACCACATCGTTTCGATAAACAATGCCATAATGTATCACTCATTACTTTTCGTTCAACTAATTTTTTCCATATCATACCTATAGAAAAACAGAGACATATATTAGAATAAGTTACTATTTTCAGCCATTTTGTACCTTGTGAAACAACGTGAAACCATTCTCGACAAACAAGTTCTGTTGATGTCAATGATTTATCATCTAAATAACTGAGAATTTTTTCGGCTATAGCTTCAAGTCCTCTACCAGCTAATTGTCCAATAAAATCACGTTGTAACATAGGAAATAAAAATTGATTAATTTTTCCTAATTGATGATGATGCATACGCTTCAATAAATCTTCAACAATATTCAATTGTTCATTATCATTAAATTGTTCAAAATGTTTTAAAAATTTTGTATAGTCCGGTGGCGATTTTTTACTAGGAGATGGTATCTCATTCGACATACTTTCTGCTAATTGATTACACTTGGTGGCCGGATTGAAATTCATAGTAAGATGCAATTGAAGATATTCGATAGATATCTGGAAATAGACAAACAAAATTTAAAGCTCATTAATAAAAGATATAGCTCAAATTCAACAAAAAAATAAAACTATCATTAGAGAAGAATTTATACAAAGAAGATGTTATTGAACACTAGTCAATGTCTTAAATCTAAAATTTGAGCAAATATATCATCGAAAATAAAAAATTAAGTTTATGCAGAATGTGAGACTTACCGCAATTTTTGAAATTAGTATATTCAATTTTATATAGCCTACTGGTTTGTAGAAGAATATATTGCCGAAAGTTGTCGAAAATTTTTATCTGAATATTCCGTTTCGAAAGAGTTAAAAAATTTCCCAGACTTTTGACAATATATCAAGCTGCAAAACAATGGAAGGCTATTGTTATCGTCTGTGTAGAATCCAAAAAATTCACTTGCCATAACTCTGAAACTCAGTGATATATTTATGGCATGATTTTTTATTTTACTTCAATAACATCAAAAGTGAGAGTGTAAACTATCTCATCACATTAATCGGATTTTTTACTTTACTTAATTAAATTCACCACTCAGTTTATATGAAACTGTCCAGCAGAGAAAACAAAATTTATTTTTGATGACAGCACACAATATATATATATATACTAGCATGCTTAATGTACAAGAGAATAATAATAAGAGCAGCATACGTATTTGATCGATGTTTATAAGAGTATATGTGGTTATGTACAAACACGTTTGATCGCTTCATCTTTCTTTCTTTCCTTCTTTTTTTTCTTCCTTTCAAATTCAAATTTTTAGTTATACGGAGTGTAGATCTGTACTTCAAACATATGGGATGATCAAATGAATATAGATATTTTATTTCAATAAAAAGCTACTATATTCTATCAAAATCAGTTATCACCATTTCAAATAAGAAAACAAAAGACATCAATATACATACAATTTTATAAATAAGATGGTGAATGACAATAATACCACTGAAGAGTCATTTTGAACTGTTAAAACTGATTGTGTTTGCATAAGAATATTCAAACAAACGCAATCTAAATCTTACATTGTCTCTTTCAAAACTAAAATGACTTGACACTTGCTTAGAAAAAAGACTTCATTCATTTCTTTGTGTTTTGATGAGAAAAGACATGCGAGATTAATTATAAAGAGGACTTAAAAGTGTAATTCATCTATACAAGCTTCTAGTATGCTATTAAATACGTCATAGTTTTAAAGAAAGAACAAAAAGAGCTACTTTTTTTTCTGAAAGTATATAGTAAGCTTCGTTTAATGTTTCATTTTACTCCTGTGATAGAAAACAAAGAAAAAACTTGTAGTATCGGATCTTTTCTTTTGATGTCTATACATAATCATAAATATCATACGTCTAAAATTATCCGATTCCGTTTCATATAACTCATATAATAACATGCCTTATTAAATATTGTTGCACTGATATACTATGACCAATTTGATGCATACATTTGTTTCGTTTTCTACTGCTATTTTATAATCAGAAGAAGACACTATTTCAGACAGTATTTTTACAAAAAGCAGACTGTTTGATCTAGAACTGTAAGTTTCAGACACTGACTATTGACGTTATTTACATATTCAAGACTCATCAAATGAGTTTATTTTCATTCTGTGGAATCTGTGGAATTCTTGCTCTGATTAGGTGGCATTATAAATGCTTTGTTTTCACCAGCTGATCCTTATTTTTTACGATTTAGCCTTTTATCTTTTAATATTAACGCAAATAAAAATCAGAGCGAAAATAATGTGTTCAAGAAGATTAAATTCACAAGTGCGACTTTATTTGACTACGACGCTTTTGAATTTACTCATATCTTAAACGTTTCCATTCAATACTTCCTTTTTTAGATTTCTATTTATGTTGCTATTTTCTTTTTCTGTCCTCATTAAGAATACTAGTATTGAAGGGCAACTGAAATAATGTTACGCCGATATTTATCTGGTACCCAAAGAATAAGTGTCAAGTAGAAAATATAAATTGAAGAATCTTTAGAATCAACAGAATCACCGATGATTTTACATAACCGCGAAAAAATGGGAGATTCATTTGAAAGTATCAGAAAGTACGATTTTTGAAAAGTGCAGTTATGGTTGTGACAGTTTGGAAGATACATGCGCAGGTGAGACTGAAAGAAAATGTGACATCGAATCCGGATGCGTTTCAAGTGAGCCGATTGAACCTAATCAAATAATTGCTAAAAAGTTACATGTTTTCTCATTCTTTTCTGCTCATGTCCATTTCAAACCTTCACAACCATAATTCCACTTAGAAGATTCAAAAAAATTCGTGTTTTACTCGAACGTTTATTTGTTCTTATATATTCTTTCCAAATTTGCTGGAGAGTCCCCAAATTTTCCGCGGTTCTGTAGAATCGTTGATAATTCGGATTCTCTGAGTGTATACTTTCTGCATAACATATCCAATAGTATTGGCTGTTAAAGATCAGAAATAGTTCTCATCAGATAATCACGAACAATATATGAAATGTGCAAAGCTTTTCAATTTAATAAATATGTTGTTCTCGAGATTAGCACAAAATAGAGGAAATACGAGTTATCATATTTACAGGACAAGTAATCAAACTATCATTATCTTATAGAATCACGTGAACATGATATATAAATTGAAAATCAATGGATTATTACACAAATAGTTGTTTTTCATCGATATTTATGAGTATAAGTAGCTGATTGATTTAAATTCATTTGTTGAAAGTTTTTTGGGCTAGTCCGTTGAAAGTTATTAGAATAAATAATGATACCATAAACATGAGCAAAAATAATCTGATGATTTATTATTCTCACATATCTTGGATTTTTGTACTCAGACTACAGGGACGAAGTTCGTCTATAGTCAATGTAAAAGTGTCGTTTTTATTTTACTTTTCTCTTGTACCACTACAAATAAAGTAATATACTACTACTATATCTTGCATTTTCGGAATCATGTGATTTATTTTCGATTAAATTCCATGTAACAATTTTAATATGGATTTATAAATGCTTTATAAACGTTATGTGCTCTTGACCATTGAAAATGACGTCAAAAATTTGAGAAGTCATTATTAATGGTATCTAATAGTCTATAAATTTTAGCTGCATTAGTTTTACCAGTGTCATCTACATGGAACTTGTATCACATAACATGTCATTGTGTGTAACTCGCACATACGTACACATTGTTGATAATATGCCTCGTGGAATGTCTAGCTATTTTATCACTCAAGCATCAGTTGCTTAATATTATCTCCTGTGTATAATATTGTGTTTGATTTGTATTGACCGAATGATAATAATGCATTCAAAATTGTCATATTCATGTGTTTATATACATCGTTCACAATTTTTGCATTCAAATTACTGAACAAGTATAATTAAAGAAACATCCAAATATTGCTCGAAATAATGTATTAACAAAACAAAAAAAACGTAAAAATAGTTTTTAACAGCATCTAGAAGATATTGTTCTTTTCTCCACAAGATCGGATTTCTTTTAAGACAAGTAAATACTTCAGCACAATTACAATCATGACAATTTATGTTATATTGACCTTGACCAATGTCATTCAGTACAATGCTAAAGGTTATTAAATAAACCAGTATCAGTTGATTGCCATGTGCTCTAAATGTTATCAGTTTCAATATTCTTATAGATGCGTTTAAAACGTTTGATATACCGAATATCTTGATGAATGACGAAGAAATTTTAAATAGTTCGACTTTCGAAGTTATTTAATCTGTGATATTAAATTGAGGACAAGAATTATTAACCGTTTAGTTGATGAAGAGACGAGAGCGTTGAAAATTAAAATGATCTGAAAAATCGAGCATTGAAGTGACAAACTTATTCGATCATCGGATTGATCAACATTGTGAGATCAATATGATGCTCTACAGTCACTAAAGCGCACTTGAAGAGATTAGTATGATAGAACTGAGTTTTCTACATTTAATCGATATTTGCGTGAACAATTGAGATTACTGTGATATTTTTCGTATATTTTTATTCATACGTTGATCGATTTGGCAATTGACTTTAAATTATTTTCAAACCATTTCTATTGTTACGCCTACCAAAGTACATGACTGTTAGTAGTATACGAAAGTATACTCTTATCTGATTAATGTAATGGCAATTAATACACTTAAGAGCCGTCCAATATCAAGGATCTTCGTTATTATTATACCTAAAAAATGATGTCTATCATTAACGGTAATCACTGATTCATAAAGTAATTAAACTTGTTTTAAATTATAGTTATTTTAATCACTATCAACTGCAGCTCGCTACTCGGTCACATTACTAAATGCTTAAAATAGGCTTCAGTCACATGTGAAGCAGACTGGTCATTCTGGTCATGAAAATGGAATTTGTTTATATTGTCTAGAAGATAAATTAAAGATATGATAGATTAAAATATAAATTTTATCCTAATTTATCTTCAACAACCGAGTTACAGGACTAATTCTGTGAAAATATACTCCTATCTGGAATAACACCTCGTTGTAATTCAATACTTTTCATAGAATCGATTGATGATAATTCAGGTCCAAGATTTTTTCGATTTTTCAGTTGGGCACTACTGAATTTTTCGTGTGTTTATAAAATAAATAAAAAAATCAATAATTCCAAATAGAGTAGGGGCACATACTCACAGTAATTATAATAACTAATTGATTTTTTTATCGAACACTTCAGCATTCACTCCATCAGTCTCGTTGGATTCTTTATCATCGGATATAAGCACTTGTTTACCTTGTGTTCATTTTGATTTATAATCATAGAATTCGTTGAAACAACGAAGAGCAAATCGACAAAAACTGTTTCATTCCTATCATTGAGCAAAATAGTGTTTGTCACAATGGAAAACTGAAAAGAATGACGAGAAAAATAAACAGAAAATATCTAAAAATTGAAAAATAATGTTAATAATGGAGACAAAACATTATCTTAGTGTTGATAGAAAAATCAAAGGTACACCTACTTTATTTTTTTCACTTTGACAAGGCGCTAACTCGTACAAAAAATTCCATATTCGAATAATAAGTTACGTTTGTTACGCAGCTCATCAGCTAAATGCCAGAGCGATCATTTCGGAGCTTTAAATTTAGTACGATCTTATTTGTTCAGGCGCTCCTGCAGCAAGTGGAAATACACTGCCGCTGCCTGATATTAGATATTCGTTATCGATAAACAATTCTCAAAGTAAAAGTTTTGTCATTGAAATACTTGTTTTCAAAAGATTATCGTATTTAGAATGATAAGATTGGTATAATTTCTTGCTCTCTAATACTCTGGAACCATCACAAGCTGCTTTAATGTATCTTCTGCAATTTTTAAATAAAGTATATGAAATTCTTCTTTTCTTGTCGATAATTCAATCGCTTTTATTCACTCTAACATTCATAACGGGTTGGGCAGAGGAAATGGCGCTACTTTTGAGAGGCTGTTTCTCAAGTTAGATTGAATCAGAAAGTTTCGTTCTGATGCTAAAAGATAGAGAATTTTGTGTAGATTTTATTAATATGTTCTTTGTAAAATAAGCATTTGCCGTTTTTTTTGTAGCAGTAAAAGTACTGGATGCCACAAAAACACCACTTGCTCAACTAGAAAATCAGAAAGTTTTGAAAATCAATTTTTGTCGAGTAAGATTCAGTTCAAAAATTTTTCCTTGTAGTAAGAGATGTAGAATTTTTCGGTGCATCTAGTGGTATGTTTGCTTTTAAATGCTTACTTGTTTATCCTTCAAAAAATACAAAACATCAAGAAGACAACCTCGGCCAACGGAATCGTACTTGTCTTTAGCAATTTTTCTCAAAATTCGGACTTACAATAATTATGTTTTTATACTAACAGACGCAGAATTTCATCTCTACAAAATGCTCTTCTTTATAATGGATGAGTTGTTTTTCTAATCGAATAAATAAGTTGAGATATTTTCCTTGACATGAAAGGCGCCAAAAATCGATAATTGGCCATCTTTTGTAGACAGTTTTTAAAATAGTAAAACTTTGTCCAAAAATTTGGTTTTGTGTCTCAAAAACAAATACGTTTCTCTTCTTTTTCATACTGTGTTTGAATAGCGTATACAAAATTATTTGGCAAATAAAACGGACATTTTATTCCAATAAAGTGCTGAGCAAGTGATGTTTTTGTGGCATCCGGTACTTTTACTGCTAAAAAAGAACAGCAAATGCTTATTTTACAAAGAACATATCAATAAAATCTACACAAAATTCTCTATCTTTCAGCATCAGGGGCCTGTTTCTCAAAAACACTTAAGTATAATTTCCTGTTTACTTAAGTGAAATTATTCACTTGAGTAAAACTTTTTTTTTTAAAAGTTTTTTCGAGAAACAGGCCGCACTTAAGTTGTTTTGAGAAACAGGCCCCAGAATGAAACTTTCTGATCTACTCTAACTTGAGAAACAGCCTATCAAAAATCGCGCCATTTCCTCTGCCCAACCCGTTATTACTAGCAATAATTCTTAGTACTATAAATTTGACGTTATTATATTTCTTCAGCATTTTATTTTTTTATATCTGAATTTTTTTTGTCCGTTTTATTTATGAATAATTTTGATTTTTCACAGACTATTTTTTCTAGCCTCTCTTCGACATGATGTCCGATTTCATTCTGAAAGTAGACATTAATCGGATAAAATGTAAACACGAAACGGTTTTCCTTTGCAAAAAGCGAGTCTCATACAACAAAACTTGCTGAATAAGTCGGGCAATTGTATCCCGCTAAATAATAAATTATTGGCATTACATTTGAATTAATGACAGAACGTGACCTCTTCATATAAACTAGTTCGTTAGACTTTAAAGACTCTCTGTTCAACGACGAATTCCAACAAACATCAATTTCATTTATGGAAATATAAAATATCTTTCAGCAGCAAAAGACAGAACACGATCCTATTGTCGTAGCGAAGAGTGATCACACTGACTGAGTAATACAATGAACAGAACTAACAAACTCTCAATGTACAAATCTTAAAAATGAGAAGCCATTTTTGACGATCTTAATCTTAATGAAGATGCATAAATGAAATAACAAAACAATGAATAATAAAACTAGCAAAAACATCACAATTCTTTTTCTGATCGATTTTGGTTATAAAAAAACGAGTACTGCGTTATCAAAAATATAGTACAAAAACAAACAAAAAAAAAAAGTATATAGTAGGTTATTTTATCTGAAGATAGAAGTTACTTTTTGCCCTGATTTCTGTGAACATCTGACTAATAGAAAAATGAATATAACTACAAAATGTTTTCATTTCTTTTTGAATAAAAACTACTATCAAAGAAAGTAAAAGAAAAAATTGATGTAACAACAAACAATACCGTAAGAAAAACACCAGCGGATACGTTCACGGGAATAATATATCGAAAATAACAATACTTGTTATTTCAAAGAAAAAAAAAGCACACAGGAAAATGAGAAAAAAATACACTTGTAACACGACATACAGTTCAATCTATTTTTTGGATAATAGTAGTATCCATTATCAGATTTATCAAATTTTTCGTTTACCATTGAGGCGTTGTGTTTTCTAAACAAAAAAAAAAGAGGCATCATTTTCTTTACATGAAACTCAAATGTGGTGCGAGTTTTTAGCTAATGTTTTTAAATTGTTGAAAGATTACTTTTAGTCGCTTTTTCATTATTCTAAATAGTCTTATAAACTAAATGCAATATTTAAACCAAATTTATGTCTTTCTCTCTCTCTATCATAGCGATGGAGAAAAGAAATTCAGAAAACTTGTAAGAAGAAAAAAAAAGAGTGACACATTTAAGCCTCACTGTTCTTATTCATTATTGAACAAACAAATAGTTTTTACATACTGTTAATGTTTTTGATTTCTCCACAATGTGTTCATTATGTCTAAATAATTTTTCTGTTAGATTTTCTTCATAAGCATTCATTATTTTTCTTGTTGCTTTTAATGTTAATTGATGACCAACTCTCAAATGTTTTTGTAAATAAAATTTTTTTAATATTGTTGAACATGGTGCATTTGGAATAGATTTTTTATTAATACCATATAATTCCAAATTATTCATATGTAATGGACATTGTATTTTTTCTTGAATAATTATTTCATCAGGTTTAATTATTTGTTCAGTTTTATTTATTTTATTCATCACTGCTTCAACTAGTTTTGTTGCACATGAAGCTCTTATATTATGATAAAGTATTAAATGATCTTTTAAATGAAAATATTCTCCTTGACATAATTGAATTTTATGTTTTTGTGTAATACCATAAACATTGTATCGATTTAACATACAATTTGCTTTGAATTTCGATACATTTTGATTACTTATATCATTTTCATTAGAAAATAAATCAATTGTTGTATCAACAGCTGAATCATTAGCAGCCATTACTAACTTAACAATTTTTTTTGATGAATTATAATTGAAATCATGATAATTTTGTAAATGATTAATTAATCCAAATTTCTCAGATAAATGTCGTCCATTACATGGTATATTATTAATGTTATGTGTTTTACAAATTCCAAACACTGTTTTTGATACAAGAGGACACTTATTCGTTTTAAACGATCGAATCAACTGTGCCTGAAATACAAAATAAACATGAATTGTAAAAATCGACTAGTCATAAATTCACTCTTTAGGCGGCTAACTCTTTCATAATGCGAAAAATACATATCTTCTAAATAAAAATAAGCAGATTTTTCGTACGATCGCATCCATATGAATTTATAATTGAATATTAAACAAAAGTAGAAGATATTCTCTTTTAAAGTGCTACTATATGTTTAAAATCTTACTGACAAAAAAATTTGTTCGATAATAAAGATTTCAGCACATGTACAGCGTGACTGAAATATCTACTCAAGCTGCGCAGCATCTAGGCGAAGAAAATCTTGTTAACTACCTTTAGTTTGACGTCTAGCTTCTCATGTGTATCTTCATCATCACTTTGTGTTGCATCTGAAAAGATCTCTAAAAAAAAGATACTGTTATATCTACGTGAAAAACTTATCACTGCAGGTCACAACTAACTATATTAATGTTTCTTAATGTTCTACCTATGTTTCTTGAATAACTTGAGAAGCAAACGAAAGAAAATCTCAAGTTCTTCTAATATATAACTAAGAGTTGAAGTCACTAGATGATGATATGTTTCTTTCTCGGGTCTCAGCATGACATTTGCATAACTTCGAACATGAATGCAAGTATGCGTTACTGATCATTTTGAATCTCATAAAAATGAAAAAAGTGGTGAAAATCTGTTTTGTATGTCATTTATATTTAATATTGTATTTCCTTTCAAAATCAAGTCCAAACACTGGAAACTCAAAAGTGGTCGATATGTATATTATATACACGCATATAATCAAAAAAATTTCTTATTAATCGAAAACCATTTCTCTCCTTCAAAAAAAACCTATCATTCTCCAAACTCTAACAGTTCTATCATGTGAATTAAGGATAATCAAATGTTTTCTATAGGCGTCACGTGTTTTGATTTGATTTTGAGAGAAAATACAAATGTTAAATATTCGATATAAATGACATAACATATGATATTTCATACAAAACAAATTTTCACTACTTTTCTCCATTTATCGTGAAACAAACCTTCTCATGAGATTCGAAATGATCAATATTTTCATACATTTTTGAAGTTATGCAAATGTTCTGAGATCCGATATCACCGAAAGATGAAGATCTCTAGTTTGTTTAAACTATCTATTATGATGTCGTGATTTTTCAACAACGGATCAACTTAGGCCTTGATTAGGAAAATGTTGAAAGTTGCAGATCGTTAACTCTCCCACGTTCAGCATTATTCAAAAACTAACTCTCTTGTTTAGAAATGAACAGTAATAAAACTCTAATGCATTGTTTTACCTTCTTGTTGTTCTTGATTCGGATCTGAAAAGTCAAAAAAAGAGAATAACTATCTTGTGATGACTTTTTTTTAAACAACAACAGGCTTACCATCAAGTGGTTCATCGTTAATATCAATTGCGGTATCTATCTGACATCTACATAAAAAAACTGCTGTTAAATAAACATCTTTTTGATAATTTTTTCTTTAGAGACTTACTGCTGTTCATGATCCATATTAGTAACGAAACTATCTAAATAAAAAATAAGGATTAATCCTTCTTCAGTGAAATTACATCCACAGTGTATAAGAAAATTGTTCATGCAACACCCCTTACATAAACTTGCGATTAATGTATCTCGAAAATGAAACAACCTGCAAAGTTCGGAATTTCACTAAAATGTTGCAGATTTGTTGCAGGTTATCAAGCTCAGCTTTCAGACTACATTAGTTTTATGTTTATATCTCAGAAGATCAGATGAAAATTCGTTAATTTTTAAGCAGATGGTGAACTGTAGGATCAATTTCGATAGAGAAAGAAAGTTTCCTCTCCCACTCTTTCTGGCATAAAACAATGACTATAAGTGCTTGGTATTGTCAATAAATAACCTACAACAAATCTGCAACATTTTAGTGAAATTCCGAACTTTGTTGTTTCATTTTGGAGATACATTGACCGCAAGTTTATGTAAGGGGCGCATGAACAATTTTCTTATACACCGTATATTCAATACCTTGCTTTGTATAGTCACTTTCAATATTAGATAATGTCAAGTCAACACTGCTGTTTTCTCCAAACGACGGTTCAACTTTGATGGTAAAATCAACGGGATTATCTAAAATAAGATGAATAACAAAATAATGAGAGTAAGCCGATGTTGTAACATAGCATTCACACTCTCTTATAATTATAGTCAACTATGACAGACATACACATTGTTATCTTTAAATATATATATTAACTTTCTATTCTCAAACAATACTTACTAGAAGAATTTACTGCAGTTGTTGTTGTAGAATAAAGATTAAAATGATTCATCAAATGTTCAAACGTTGATACTTTATTTTCCATTATTAGTTTTGTTAATTCTTCAATTGATTTATTTAATTTTGTTAAACATAATTTAACATCATTCAAATCATTAGCACTGACATTTTGTTTTTCCATTTGTTTCAATAAAAAACCATTAAGATCATTTAAATGTTCTAATTTTATTCGATCAAATTCATCATCATTAATCACTATAGAATCAATTTCTTGGTATTTTTCTCTATAAATAGCATTCATTTGTTGAAACCAATCGTCCAGTTGTGAACGTAAACGAGAACGCTTTTGTTCAACGTTTGATGATGCTAACGATTCTAGAACTAGTTTTCTTTCGATTGTTTTTGAAATTAAAAAATCGAACTCTTCTTTGTATTTTAATGTTTCTTGATGTTGTAGAAAATGGTTTACACAAACGTATAGTTGACAGTGTAAACATAATGCATTTGAATCATTCACACATTGAACATCATCTGAACAAACAATCTGACATTTTTCTGATGCCATGAATAAATTATCTATAAGAAAACCAAGCAGATATCATTACAAAAGATATTTATCATTACGGACTGTTACTTACGCCCAAAATTTGATATTCTATTAACTTTCCTTATTTTTGTACTAACGGTCGATAAAATCATTTATGCTTATTCATATAGATTTTCTCTACTTCTTACTAACTCAACAACAACCTACTAACTATCTGTGAAAATCTTTTACCGTGAGTGCAACAATCCTTTACGTATCTGTCAGGCTTTTCCTATCTTTCCAACGAGAAAAAGATTCACGATGTGATGGAATACAGAAAAGAAGCTCTGAAAAATAAGAGCAAATAGATTTAACTCAACAATAGACCTCACATCGCCAATATTGCATAAAGAAACAACGAACCAGATTGCATATCTGGTTTCTCCAACCATGTCTAATCACTTGGAGACTCTTTAAGCAACTGATATAATCAGTCGCTTAATTAATGCCTAGGAGAATTTGAAAAAAAGATGTACAAATCAGTGTGCAAGTTTGCGTTGCGAACACAAAACCGCATGTTTCTTTCGAATCTGCTGTAGTGATGACTCATCATCATACTGAAATGAGAAAAAAATTCTTATTAGTCCCTTTCAAACAAGTAGACAAGTTGCAACAGGGTGAGACATCTTTTCCTAAGTCTACAGAAACTAAAGAAACTCACTGTGCCCACTTAGTTAACAGAAAAAATGAAAATGACAAAGAATCAACTTTTTTGTCCGTATATCAAAATCACTACACTACAGGTTATCCGAAAATACTTTTCTATTGGTCATGTTGTGAGTATCTTACGCCAAATCTCTTGAGCCGAAAAGAACAAAGCAACGATTGTGCTACAAGAAAATTCGAAATATATGATACATTATGGAACAAAAACTCGCGTGTTTTGTGTACTCTTTACGTTTGTCTGGTTCTCCAATTCATTGAATAAAAGCTTTAGATTTAATTTTAAACAAAAATGGTTTCCATAGTGTACCATCGCCTTTCCCATATTTTTCCTACAAAAACAGCAGAAATCAAGTTTTCAAACTGGAAGACCATTTTTCTATCATTTACATATCAATTACTAAAAACGGTGATTGTAATGGTTAACCATTCTCCACTAAAAAGAAAACTAACAGTTACCCAGAAAAACTTTCTTTTAGTCTTAAATAAGGGTGAATTGCGTTTCGTGTTCAACAGGCTATCTTCTAAACTTTATTTTAGATCCATTTTGTCTTTCTTCACGGTTTTATTGAGATGTATATCAAACAAGTACGCTATAAATCCTTTCCATGCCTTCCTTTCTTATCTTGAATACTCATTCATGTTTTCAGGTAATTATTCAAGGGTTTCGATCGTATCGTGATGAAACAATCTTCGAACCGTTCAGTCCTCGCTATAATATCATTGGTAAGAGAATCAAGAAACTAGTTCATTCATATCGTGACATTGTGTTTGTTTTATTCATTTTAGTGGGTCGAAATGGATGTGGAAAATCAAATTTTTTCTTTGGTAAATTAATTATTTTATAGTCAGTTGTCTAAGAAGAGAAAAAATGTTTGTGTATATTTTGTGACATATTTCGTCGTTTTCTCGTTTCCTTACATCTTGGCGATTTGAGTTTGAGTTTGAATGTGTGAACTTTATATGAGTCTCAGAAGAGATGCTCGCATCTATGCAATAATGTGTACTCTTTCAATAATTTATCTTTAAAGTAGAGAAATTACTTTGTCTCATGCTATCCCCTAGATAAAAATGACTATCATTATTTGCTGTATATACAAATACATAATTTTCTTATTTTGTTTTATTTCAGCCATTCAGTTTGTATTAAGTGATGAATTTAATAATTTAAGTGCTGAAGGCCGTTATAGTTTAATGCATGAAGGTGTTAATTCTCGAGCTTTAAATGCTTATGTTGAAATTATATTTGATAATACCGACAGTCGAATTATGGTATATTGATCGTAGACAACGTTTGTGACGATTTCAAAATAAATACTAGCCATATTTGTTTTTCCATTAGATTGATAAACAAGAAATAGCTGTTCGTCGACAAATTAGTGGAAAAAAAGATAATTATTTTCTTGATCGAAAAGTTGTCAAGTATGCACTATTACAGTCTAATTATTATTTTTTAATCGTTCTCTATTTTTGTTTTAGTAAAACCGATATTGTTAACATGTTAGAAGGCGCTGGATTTTCACGTAGCAATCCATATTACATTGTTAAACAAGGAAAAGTAAATTGTGTATTCTTTATAAAATACTTCGATATAACTACTCGTTTTTCTTTTACAGATAACTCAAATGGCAATAGCACCTGATGCGCAACGTTTACAGTTGCTACGTGAAGTGGCTGGAACAAAAGTTTATGATGAGAAAAAACAAGAAAGTGAAGGAATATTAACTGAAACTGGTAGGTGAAATTTCACCCAGACTATGGTAAAATTTAGTCTGTGATCTCAGTAGCACTGCTCAGTGGTTTTTTCTTCCACCAAGTGACTAAACTGCACAGATTTTTAGCGAAATGGAAAAAGTATTTTTAGTTATAACGTTGCTTTGTTTTGGATGTTTTTTACGTCTATTTTTCTCTTTTTGTAGAAGAACGTCGAAAAAAAATTGCTGATTTATTAAAAGCAATTGAAGAACGTTTACTTAGTTTAGAAACAGAAAAAGAGGAACTAAAACAATATCAAAAATGGGATCGTAGTAAACGTGGTTTAGAATGTGCCATATGCATGGCAGAATGTGAAGAATCCAAAAAACGAATTGACGATGTAACACTAAATTTGTTTATTATGTAATTAAATGCTGAAGACTGTATTTTGTTTTTGTTCGTAGATTGTAACAAAAATGAATTCATCAACTCAAACAGTTAAAAAACTCGAAAATGACAGAATTGAAACAACAGAAAAAATTCAGGTAAGTATTAGTTATAGACTGCTCCTAAACAACAAGTGTCTTTGTTAACCCATTGTGCTGATGTTACTGGATGAAAAAATTTGCGCACTTATTATAGCAATTAGGTGATTCAATAACAGATTTGAAACAACGTATTCAAGTTCAACAAATGGAACGTGAAACATTAATTGGGGATAATAAAGATCAATTTCAACGTAAAGCTAAAATTGAATTAGAATTACACGATTTGAGAGATGAAACAATAAATTTTGATACGAAAAAAGAATCATTGAAAAAAGAATTAATAAAATTTGATCAATTAATTGATGATAGTGAACAAAAATTAAAAAAAATTGTACCACAATATGAAGATTTACGGAAAGAAGAAGAACAAAAAACGGCAAGGTATGAGTTTTTCTAATATGTTATTTCGTCTACCGTGTAGAGAGTTTGCGTTTTTCTTAGAAACAAAAATAGTGACTCCATCATCTAGCTTTTCTTTTTGACTTTAGACGAGATTTAGCGGAAGAGAAACGGAAAGAATTATTTGCAAAACGTGGTCGTGGTAATCAATTTGCCAATAAAGAAGAACGTGATAAATGGATTAAAAGTGAATTAAAATCATTGAAAAAAGCTATGGAAGATAAACGTGATCAGGTTTTGTTTCTTCATTTCCATCATTGAACCACTTTTTACGTTTCATGTTCATTTAGATTGAACGATTAATACAAGATCTGGCTGATGAAACTCATAAATCGGCTGAAATAAATGATCAATTAAAAAATATCGCCGAATCCGGTAGTGAACAACGGCAACATATCGATGAAGTACATACAAAAGTGCGAGATTTACGACAAAAGAAGAGTGATATACAAGCACAAAAAATGTAGGAAGACAGTGTAGATAACTGAAATATATAAAATAAACTTTTATCCTTTCTAGTGAATTATCACGTAAAGAAGCAACATTACATCAACAAATAACTCAAGCACGAGATGAACTGCACAAATGTGAAGTTACATTACGTTCGTCAACAGGAAAAGTATGTATTTTCCACAAACTTTTACTATTTCATAATGAAATTAGATACAGTAGTTTTTTTTCTTCCACTTCGCACCTGATGTTGCACGGATCAGAAAATGTCATGTGTTCAAATTTAGGGTCCATTGCAAGGTGGTGATTCGTTACGACAATTATTACGTATATTTGCCGAACAAAATCGAAATCACGATATTTTGAACGGATACCATGGAACGTTAATCGAAAATTTTGATTGTGATCGAACATTTTATACGGCCGTTGAAGTTATTGCTGGTTCAAGGTAAGTTTCAGAAAAAACATTTCTATCAGAAAATCCATTTTTAAGTGTGTCAAAAAATTTCTCGATTCCGAATTTGAACTTGTCCATTTTTATTTCTATTACACTTGTGTTTTACAAATTTAGATTATCTTATCATATTGTTGATAGTGATCTGATAGCAACGAAACTTGTACGTGAATTTAATCGAGAAAAAATGCGTGGTGAAATAAATTTTTTACCACTAAATGTTTTACATGTACCAAAAAGTGGTTTACCAACTATACAAGTGAGTTTTATAGGCAAAGAACTAGAATGAGTACGCTCATTAAATGTTTCTCTTCTAGGGTGCATCACCATTGATTAATCACTTAAAATGGGATTCTAAAGTTGACAAAGCTGTTCAATATGTTTTCAATCGTATTATGTTATGTGAAGATTTTAATACAGCAACAAGAACAGCTAGACAACATGATATTGATTGTGTTACACTTGATGGTAAGAACGCTACTTTTTTTTAAAGTAGTAAGCAGAAAACTGATTGATATCGCTTTTTAAGGTGATCAAGTCGCTCGTAAAGGTGCTCTAACTGGTGGTTATATTGATCGTAAAATATCGCGTCTAGAATTACAACGTACAATAAAACAATTACGAACAACATTAAACAACTTAGAATTGAAAAATGATGCATTGAAACAAGAAATAAATGATTTAGATGCTGAACATAATTCGGTTATGAATGAACTACAACGACACGATATGAAAGCAAAAAAGAATTGGTAAACTTTTTTTTGTTTTTCATCTTATTATTTGAATAAATAGAAAGTATTATCATTGCGCTCTGATTCACATTCTAGGGATAACTATGAACAAATGAAATCCGATAGTAAACACCTTCAAACAGAACTTGATCGAATGATCGCACAAAGACCTGGAAAAGTAAGAGAGAGGTTACTTCGTTAATAATTAAACAGTGATTCTGTTAAGCAAGTATCTTCTTCTGACAATAACATTCTTTTGTCATGATTTGAGTTCTATTACAGATATATTATGTTTAGGAACGTCAATTAAATGCATTACAAGCAACAATGGAACAATTTTTAGCTAAAAATGAATCATTGGATGCTGAACTTGGTAGTGATTTAATATCTCAATTGACCGTTGAAGAACAAGCTTCTGTTGATACATTGAACGATACGATACAACAAATCAATCAAGAATTAAAAAAGATAATTAAAAAACGGGTTGAAGTAAGATCATTTTCTGATTGCTATAATATATTTACGTCATAACTGATTTCTTTTTCTTCTAGTTCGAGGGCAATAAAACAAAACTAGAACATCAAATCAATAATAATTATCGAAAAAAACGCGAACAAATCAATATGGTAGGGTTTGCAAGTTTTTTGTCCATATTTTTCTATGTACAACACATTCATTGATACATAGGATTTGGAACGAATGCAAGCAGAAAACGCTCGTGTGTTGATTGATGAACTTCAACGTGAATTAGATATACTCAATGATAAATTAAGTGAACATGAAAAACAAATCGATGGTAGTGTACATTCAATTTTATATGGTTTTGATTGATATAAAAAAGCTTTGGGTTTTATTATTTAGCAATTGATAAGGTAGTAACAACCATTGATAAAGAATTGAAAGCAAAACAAAAAGAACTTGAACACCTTCGCGTAAGTGGAGAAAAAACAAAATAACAATCCAAAACTAAGATTTTTTTATTGTTGTTTTTCTCTTAGTCATCAGATAAAGATTTTGATGAAAAAATTAACGAAGAAAAACGAAATGCTGATAAATATGAAGTCAGATTGCGTCAAGCACAAATGAAAGTATGTACTAACGATAAACTGTGTTTAAATTATGTAGAATAAATGAAAAACATTTTAGCTTGACGATGCTACAAAACGATCAAATGATATTGGCGTACCGCCAGATGGTTTAGATAAATACAAAGGACAAAATGTCAAAAATGTAATTATTGTATAAAGAAGAAAACTTGTGACATAGGCACATATTCTACTGCCTTTTTTTAGTTACAACGAGATTTAGATCGTGCAATAACTGAATTAAAAAAATATGCTCATGTTAACAAAAAAGCTTTGGATCAATTTTTACAATTTTCTGATGAAAGAGATAAATTGGCTATAAGAAAAGATGAAATTGATGAAGCACATAGAGTATGTTGATATACATTTTTCTGTTTAAAAGTTTCAAATATTGTTTTTCAACTTGAATTGAGAAAATCTATTGTATGTTGGTGTGTCTGCACAATTCTCCAGTATTTTTGTTTCTTTTTCTCACAGCACATTGTCGATCTAATTGAAAGTCTCGATAATAAACGATTGGAAACAATTCAATTTACATTCAAACAGGTATATTTTATCTTTTTAATTTATGATGTTTTACAATGAGAAAAAATTCCATTCTCGTTTTAGGTTTCATTGTATTTCACAGAGGTATTCAAACGGCTTGTTCCAGAAGGAAGTGCTCATTTGGTTATCAAAAAAGGTGATAATGAAGTATGTATTCTAGTTTTGCGTATATTTCTCTTCATTACGTCTAAATATTTTCATTTTTATTCAGGATTTTGATAGTGACCAAGTAAATTCCCAGAGTCAATCTGGTTCAATGTCTGTCGATGATTTTACCGGTGTTGGAATTAAAGTAAGTGTCAATCATTTCTTTATATTCGCTTTCTGTTGTCTAATAAAAGGTGTTTTCATTTTATTTTTAGGTTTCATTTAATGGTAAAGCAAATGAAATGCGTGATATGCAACAATTATCTGGTGGTCAAAAATCTTTGGTTGCTTTGACACTCATATTTAGTATACAAAAATGTGACCCAGCACCGTTTTATTTATTTGATGAAATTGATCAAGCATTAGATCCACAATATCGAAATGCTGTTGCTGGTTAGTTTTGATACATACTGGATACGAGAGAGAATGTTAGAAGTTTTCTACTTCTATGTACTTGGCATAGATCTGTAAAGGGATGTTAATTTCTAGTTTAAGAGACGATAATGGATTGAAGATATGTGGAATAGGACTTTGATAAGCAAAACTTCAGTTAATTTGTTGTTCTTTGATCTCTTTTGCTTATTGCCAACTTGTTTTCCTCTAACTTTTTTTCTTTTTTTTAGAACTGATTAATGAATTGAGTCAAAAGGCACAATTTATAATAACCACATTTGGCCCTGATTTATTGAAATATGGTGATAAATTTTATGGTATCACATACCGAAACAAAGTTAGTCATATTCGATCGGTATCACGAGATGAAGCTTTAGAATTCGTGGAGGATCCTGATCAAAATACACAACAAGCATAAACATGTTCCATTTTTGTACATGTGATTTAGTAGTGAATTTAGATAGATTAGTTTTTTTTATCTGTTATATGATGCAATCGTTTTACTGTGTGTATTTTCCTACTGTAAGTTTGTACATGATGTAAATGCAATTTATTTGTTATTCATGTGTCTGTCTGTTTGTTTTTTGTGTACAACGGAAAGAATACAATTAAATTATAATACTCAACCTATCAGTGGTTTAGCCCAGACTGATAGGAAATTCGTAGTCATTAGAGTTTTTTTGGTTGATCTCGACTATAAGACATTTTTGTGATACAATGGTACTAGGTTTTTTCTATAATATTTTTTCAGTGATAGAGAATATTATAAAAGAGAAAACACATGGATATTCTAACAATCTGTACATTTGCGTAACAAGCGTTTGTGACCTGTCATTCTGTAAGATTGCTCAAGGCTGTTTGTCAGTGTATATCGTACAAAAGGAAAAGATTGTCGTTATTGATATTACATAACCAACAATACACTAGAATACAAAGTTTCTCCAAACATTTTTTTGTCTTAAAACGAACGAACTAACGGAGAAGGTACATGTTCAATCTAGGCATGCATGTATTCATTTGTCGTCGCCTATATTGACCAAGCTTCATTGACATATAGTTTTTCGAGTTTCTTCTTTTTGGGATATCTACATAATATTTAGATTCTTTTTGTATTGATTAATAATCACATTAAATGTTAGAAGAGAAATATCAAATTCTTTTTAGATTTGAACATCATGTTTTACACGTTGCTTCGTTCAATAACGTCCACCAATGGAATTAAAACAAATGTTTTATTTTCGTCAACGAAAAAATGTTTTATGAACAAAAATATTGTTCCTGTTCGAACAAACATATGGATGAATGGTGAGTTATTTGTCTTATTCTTTAAACCTAGCTAATTATTTGATTTCTTCTCTTCCAGTTACTGCGCAAGATTTGTGGAAAACAATCACTTCCGTGAGTAATGCTGGAGCGAAAAGGGGCAGAGCAAAACGTCGTGGTGGTGAGTCCTATTCCATCTTATGATATCGCTGCTTTCACTGCATATTATTAATTTATAATGTATTTTGGACTGTTTTAGCAACACGTTTCAAAGATTTAAATTTCGGTCAAAAAATTGGAGAGGGTATGCAGTTGAAAACTGGTTACATCCTAAGCAAATAACGTTTACAGTTTTGATTTACCTTAAGGAAAATCAAATGTTCAATGGCCTGGTTTAAATGCTCCATTAACGGCTGGCAGAGATATATTAGAAATAAGCCAGAAACCACCCGATCCAGAAAGAGAAACACGTTTACTTGAAGTACGAAATCGATTAGATCGATTTAGACGATTAAGTATAGCGCCAAGTGAACGTGGATTTACTGGTGGACGTCCAGCAGGAAAAAGTCTCGGAATACCTGAACCAATTAACGAAGGTAATTAGGATATTGGCTAAATAACCTGTTAGTTATCCAATAGTACTCAGATGTTATTTTCTAGTCACATTTGATGGTTTTGATTCTCGATTAATTGAATTTAAAACTTTACAACGAACCGTTGGTAAAATTGGACGAAAAAAGTTTACATCAGCGTTTGTGGCTGTTGGAAATGGTTCCGGATTAGTTGGATACGGTAAAGCATTAACACAAGATGCTCAAAGTTCATTAAAAATTGCTAAAATAAAAGCTAGTCGACAATTGTTACACATTCCCGTTTGTGATGGGCATACAATTTTTCATGATTTTTATGAACCATATTTTTTCACAAAAATTCGATGTGAACGACGACCAGCAGGTAACTATTATCTAGGCACTTTCGTTTATCTGATCTATTTATTTTTATGTTCAACAGGCTATGGTCTTCACTGTCATCGTATTATTGAATTATTATGTAAACTAATTGGAATCAAAGATATATATGCTAAAATAGATGGACCAGTTAATCCACAAAATTTAACAAAAGCATTTATAAGAGGATTGATGAAGCAGGTAAAAGAAACAAATATAACTAACATTATCTTTTCTGACTTTTTAGCGGAAAAAGTTAGTCCTACTATATCGATCTTTAGATCTGGAGCTTAAGATCGGTGTATTGAATTTCATAATCATCTAACATTTATTTAGAAAACGTATCAAGAATGGGCAGATATGAAACGTTTACATTTAGTTGAATATCGTCCAGAATTAGACAATTATCCACGTCTTTTAGCTAGTCCAAATAAAGATTTAAATGTTCGTACACAATATGAAATAGATCCCGATGAAGATTTAGATTTTGAACGTTTATCGTATGATGGACGTACATTACAAGAAACAGGCGACTATGTGCCATGGTATGGACAGAAAGAGAAAACAAGACGAGGATGGTTTAAATATTTAAGAAGAAGACATTGGGTAAGAACACCGTCTTCATTGTTAGTTCGAGATGCATCGAACCGCAGAGATCTTTCATCTACACTACCTGACGATAGATGTATTATTAACTGCATGAAGTATTCGAAAAACAAACGCAGTTTTGTATAATCGTGTTAAAGTATTCGAACAATTTTTATAATTTTAAAGTATTGTTTGAAATATAGGCTTCTATTAGAGAGGTTTTCATTATAATAAATATTATTTTTTATCTTTTATTTAAGCTCACCCATCAAGAACAAGCTACAGTTGAGCGCCTAGCGCGTATGGATGAGAAGAAATATGATGAATACTATCGTTATCCCGATCAATATCATACAGATATATTAAAAAAATTAAAAAAGCCGGCTTTTCAATGGTATCCGCGTGTTTAAGAGCATTTTTCTTTGTGTTTTTGTTTTATGGCAGTGTGTACATTTTTCTTTGTTTTTTGTTATAATTTTAGTGATTAAATAAACACCCGTTCAGTGTTACACATTTCCTTCCGTTCAATCTATAATGAACAGTGCGTAAATAATATGAAGATAATTAAGAGTAGCCGAAGTAGTTTTCATTACATACATAAGTTCAATTAGGAAGATCTAACCAACGTCTTGAGGCCAATAGATAAACAGGATCTTCTGAAGTGTTAGAACGATATTATTCTAATGTATCTTTCGTTTTTCTAGTTTTTCTACTATTCTCTGATGTTTTATCTGCAAAAAAAAACGATAATTTGCAGAAATTAAAAGGTTTTGCTTAGGGATTCAAACTGTTCCTAATACGTTTTCTCATGTTGTAATTGATCTACGTTGCCTTATCTAAAATGATTAGTCAAATACTTGAAGCACAAATAATTGAATATCTTCCACTTTATATTAGTTAGCGACATTTTCAGAAATCCTTTCTGTGATGAAAATTGGCAATGTAAATCAAATTCAATAGAAACTATCATTTTAGATTGTGATACAACATAAAATATTTTCAGCCTGCGACCTATAAAATTTATCTTTTGAATAGTTAATTTGATAGAAATGCGCAACCTGCTTGTTGTTGTTTAAAATTTCAATAAAGCGATAAAAGGGTTCTCTTATGTCTTTAATATTTTTCTTATAGTATAGTTACAATAAATCACTCATACTTTTTAGGATTCTTGTCTATAGATGAAAATAAATAATTCTTTGTTTGTCAGCCTATAGCATTAGAAAAAAGGCATATTTGTTAGCAAGAATGTTATTCTAGATTAACAAAATACTATATTGTCGTAATGGCTCCCGATTTAACGAAAAAACTCGAGGATGAAGTTGAAAAATATCGACATACTCAAAATGGTATGGATACTTTTTATTCAGTATTAAATAGTCTTTTACGAATGTTTTATTTTAGAAATGAAAAAATTTGTTGCACAGCAACAAAATTTATATGTTACAAAAACTGAAAATGAATTTGTTAAACAGGTAACACGGATATTATTCAATTTTGAACAGTTGTTTTTTTTGTTTGTTTGTTGTACTTAGGAATTTGAGCATTTAGAAGCAGATGCTGTCATATACAAACTAATTGGACCTGTACTAATAAAACAAGAGTTAACTGAAGGAAAAGAAACAGTGGAGAAAAGACTTGTCTATTGTGATGGAGAATTGTAAGTGTTTACAGCAAAAAATATAATTCATATCTGCGGAATTTCTAGTTAAGTCATCTGTCGTTATTTCTTTTTTTATAGAAAACGTCTTGCAACATTGATTAAAGATACCGAGAAAAAACTGGAAACACATCGTGAAGTCATTGCCAAAATTCAACAACAAATTAAATGAGAATTATCTTTAAATTTGAATGACTAAACGTCTTTCTTTTCGTTTTTCATAATTTTCTTTGATAAATAAATGTAAGAAAAAAAAAAACGAAATTAAAGTGTTCGACAAAAGTTTTACCTGTTTTCTCTAATTTCCAAAAAGATTGAAAATGTGATCCTACACTCTAGACTACAAGACTCCACACAATATAATATGTAATAAATGAGAACTGTGATTTTGGTAAATAAAATGTTTTTTTAGCAGAAAAGTTTAACAGAATTTTTTTTTTAATTTTATTTGCGTGCTTAAAGATTGTTTAAAGTACGAAAAATAAAATGATTCGATAAAGAATTTCACGGAAAGTGTTTTAATTAAAAAGAAGTTGCTCCAAATCATCTTTTCCTGTCATCATTCGCCAAGCGCAAAAAGTATGTTACTCTTATTAAACTAGAATCCGATTTGGGATCACATCTTGAACCTATTAAAAGTCTTTTAGAAGACAGAGAAACCAGAGATAAAATATTGGCTAAACTTTTGTTTGTCACTTTACTTGTTTTAAATGCAATGGAGATAGATGGCAACAGTTTTTGAAATGACAGTTGAAAAGTTCAATAGACGTGATACAACACCATTCTCTCGTCAGTCGTTGTCTATTACCTGATATTTGATGTCAGTCATTTCAATTTAGCACAGTTGCAATTTTGGATGCTTGTATTCTCCTTCGTTGTCCTCGTTTTGCTAAAATTTCAAATGACTACAGGTAACTGGTATCAAAAAAGTTTCATATGCCTGTCAATACATCGATTTCTTTT